CACAGAGACACCCACACAGAGACACCCACACAGAGACACAGAGACACCCACACAGAGACACCCACACAGAGACACCCACACAGAGACACCCATACAGAGACACAGAGACACCCATACAGAGACACCCATACAGAGACACAGAGACACCCACACAGAGACACAGAGACACCCACACAGAGACACCCACACAGAGACACAGAGACACCCACACAGAGACACCCACACAGAGACACCCACACAGAGACACCCACACAGAGACACAGAGACACCCACACAGAGACACCCACACAGAGACACCCACACAGAGACACCCACACAGAGACACAGAGACACCCACACAGAGACACCCACACAGAGACACAGAGACACCCACACAGAGACACAGAGACACCCACACAGAGACACAGAGACACCCACACAGAGACACAGAGACACCCACACAGAGACACAGAGACACCCACACAGAGACACACACTGACCCACAGCTCCAACCCAGGAGTTCAGGCTCTGCGACACGGCCATCAGGAACCCCCTCATAGACACCTCACCACCTCCTCCTGCACCTCCTCCCCCACCTCCTCCAATTCCTCCTCCATCAGCCTCCTCCTCCTCCTCCTCCACGCGACGCTAAGCCCTAGTAATGTTTTGATTCTTAATGGGCACCACGGGGGGTCCCTGTGTGCCGGGAGTCACGTGACAGCCCCCCAACCCCCACCACCAACTATCCCCCCCCCCAAATCCCCCCCCCCCCCCAGCCAGCCTGTCAGATGGTGAACCATCAACCCCCCGTGGAGCGCAGAGCACCACGCGACACATCTCCATCTCTCTCCCCGTCTCTCTCTCCCTCTGTCTCTCTCCGTCTCTCTCTCCACCTCTCTCTCGCTCGACACCCCGTCTCTCTCTGTCTCTGTCTCTCGCTCTGTCTCTCTCTCTCCCTCTGTCTCTCTCCGTCTCACTCTCTACACCCCGTCTCTCTCTGTCTCTCTCCCTCTGTCTCTCTCCCTCTGTCTCTGTCTCTCTCTACCCCCCGTCTCTCTCTGTCTCTCTCCCTCTGTCTCTCTCTCTCTACACCCCGTCTCTCTGTCTCTCTACACCCCGTCTCTCTCTGTCTCTCTCCCTCTGTCTCTGTCTCTCTCTCTACACCCCGTCTCTGTCTCTCTACACCCCGTCTCTCTCCCTCTCTCTCTGTCTCTCTCTCTACACCCCGTCTCTCTCCCTCTGTCTCTCGCTCTACACCCCGTCTCTCTCTGTCTATCTCCCTCCGTCTCTCTGTCTCTCTCTCTACACCCCGTCTCCCTCTCTCTGTCTCTCTCTCGCTCTACACCCCGTCTCTCTCTCTCTCCCTCCGTCTCTCTCTCTACACCCCGTCTCCCTCTGTCTCTCTCTGTCTCTCTCTCTCTCTACACCCCGTCTCTCTCTGTCTCTCTCCCTCTGTCTCTCTCTGTCTCTCGCTCTACACCCCGTCTCTCTCTGTTTCTCTCCCTCATCTCTCTCTGTCTCTCTCTCGCTCGACACCCCGTCTCTCTCTGTCTCTCTCCGTCTCTCTCCATCTCTCTGTCTCTCTACCCCCCGTCTCCCTCTGTCTCTCGCTCTACCCCCCGTCTCTCTCCCTCATCTCTCCCTCCGTCTCTCTCTGTCTCTCTCTCTCTCTACCCCCCGTCTCTCCCCCTCATCTCTCCGTCTCTCTCCCTCATCTCTCCCTCCGTCTCTCTCTGTCTCTCTCCCTCATCTCTCCCACCGTCTCTCTCTCTACGCCCCGTCTCTCTCTCCACACCCCGTCTCTCTCCCTCTGTCTCTCTCTCTCTCTAGACCCCGTTTCTCTCCCTCCGTCTATCTCTGTCTCTCTCGCTCTACCCCGTCTCTCTCCCTCCGTCTCTCTCTCTCTACCCCCCATCTCTCTTCCTCCTCTCTCCCTCCGTCTCTATCCGTCTCTCTCTCTCTCCATCTCTCCCTCTCTCCACCTCTCTCTCCGTCTCTCTTTTTTTTACGATCGGAGGAATCAAGAAGATGCTCGGTGTAGTCGGCACTTTGCTTCGTTCATCATTTCGTTTGTTTTAATGCTTTGCTTTGATGTAAACTCTTCGTCTCTCCTCTCTCTATCCATCTCTCTTTCCACCCCCCCTCTCTCTCTCTCTATCTCTTCACCATATCCTCCTCTCTCCACCGATCTCCGTCTATCTCTCGATATCATCATCAGGTAGGCTATCTCGCCCGTTACGCAGGAGGTCGTGGGTTCGATCCCGACCCTGACACTGCCTGCTGCTGTATATTTGGAGTCTGCGTCTCTCTCTCTCTCTCTCTCCCATCATCATCATCAGGGTGGCTAGGAGATGTTGACTACCTCGCCTGGTACGCAGGAGGTCGTGGGTTCAATCCCGACCCTGACGACGCCTGCTGCTGCTGCTGTATAATTGGAGTCCGAGTCTCTCCGTCTCTCCCTTCCCGTGGTGGGTCGCGTGGATTTTTCTCCGGGTCCACCGGTTTTTACCCTCCCCGTTTGGAATCAACGTCAACGCTTCAGAGGATGTGGCCGCTAAAATTGTCCACGTGACCACGATGATGACGACGACCCTGAGACTCGCAACGGTCAGATCTGCCGGCTTCGACCACTCTGGCTTGGCTAATTGTGAACCCGACATGGCCATATTAACCAGAAAACTCGATTTCATTTTGCTTCACTTTACCGGGTAATACGGCCCCATTGATCTATGGCGGTTATTTTTTTTAACGAGCGACCCTGGCGATCACAAATGATAGCTCGACGAAGTGGCCCATCACCGTCATCATCATCATCATCATCGTCGTGTGGAAATGTACAGCAGTAGCCAAATAACTGTGAACGCGTTGTGCTGCTGAATCTAAATATGTGGAGGGGAGAAACCGGAGGACACGGAGATAAATAAATCCAAACATCCACGGGGAGAGACAGAGAGAGAGACAGAGAGAGAGAGAGACGCAGACTCCAAATATACAGCAGCAGCAGCAGGCATCGTCAGGGTCGGGATCGAACCCACGACCTCCTGTGTACCAGGCGAGGTAGTTAACATCTAGCCACCGTGATGATGATGATGAGAGAGAGAGAGACGCAGACTCCAAATATACAGCAGCAGCTGCAGGCGTCAGGGTCGGGATCGAACCCACGAACCTCCTTGGACACCGGGCGAGGGAGATAACATCTCCCCACCACGGCGCCCATGTACACATGAAGCAGAGCCAGATAGACTCCCAGAGATGCCGCGGTGGAAGTAGCGGTACCAGTCGTGGCCGCAATTACCAAAAACTAAGCGATGCTCTTCAGATTTCCGAAGCACGGGAGCAAAAAGACGAGCACAAACTCGTTGCATATGGAGAGGCGAGCGCGCTTTGTGAATGCAGCGATTCAATCCGTTCACGTCTCAGTCAACGATCGGGTACCGCGCATACCAGGCGAGGTAGTCAACATCTCCTAGCCACCGCGGCGCCCCTGTCTGGAAGCTCGGAGGTGTAGCGCCACCGGCTGCATCACGAGGGACAGGCTCGCAACTCCTGTGGAGTTCATAGTAGCTCCGTCAGATTGTTCATGGTCGTGCCAGATTCATAACGATGTCTCAGTGTCTCCGACACGGCCATTGTGAACCCCCTGAGAGAGAGAGACACCCAGACCCAGGGCTCGAACCCAGGCTCTCAGCCGTGATGTCTCAGTGTCTCCGACACGGCCATTGTGAACCCCCTGAGAGAGAGAGACACCCAGACCCAGGGCTCGAACCCAGACTCTCAGTGTCTCTGACACGGCCATTGTAAACCCCCTGAGAGAGAGAGAGACACCCAGACCCAGGGCTCGAACCCTGGCTCTCAGCCGTGATCTATCAGCGTCTCCGACACGGCCATTGTGAACCCCCTGAGAGAGAGAGAGACACCCAGACCCAGGGCTCGAACCCAGGCTCTCAGCCATGATGTCTCAGTGTCTCCGACACGGCCATTGTGAACCCCCTGAGAGAGAGAGAGACACCCAGACCCAGGGCTCCAACCAAGACTCTCAGTGTCTCCGACACGGCCATTGTGAACCCCCTGAGAGAGAGACACCCAGACCCAGGGCTCGAACCCAGCCTCTCAGTGTCTCCGACACGGTCATTGTGAACCCTCTGAGAGAGAGACACCTAGACCCAGGGCTCGAACCCAGGCTCTCAGCCGTGGTGTCTCAGTGTCTCCGACACGGTCATTGTGAACCCCCTGAGAGAGAGACACCCAGACCCAGGGCTCGAACCCAGGCTCTCAGCCGTGATGTCTCAGCGTCTCCGACACGGTCATTGTGAACCCCCTGAGAGAGAGACACCCAGACCCAGGGCTCGAACCCAGCCTCTCAGTGTCTCCGACACGGTCATTGTGAACCCCCTGAGAGAGAGACACCCAGACCCAGGGCTCGAACCCAGGGTCTCAGCCATGATGTCTCAGTGTCTCTGACATGGCCATTGTGAACCCCCTGAGTGAGAGAGAGACACCCAGACCCAGGGCTCGAACCCAGGCGCTCAGCCGTGATGTCTCAGTGTCTCCGACACGGCCATTGTGAACCCCCTGAGAGAGAAACACCCAGACCCAGGGCTCCAACCCAGACTCTCAGTGTCTCCGACACGGCCATTGTGAACCCCCTGAGAGAGAGAGAGACACCCAGACCCAGGGCTCGAACCCAGGCTCTCAGCCGTGATGTATCAGTGTCTCTGACCCGGCCATTGTGAACCCCCTGAGAGACAGAGACACCCAGACCCAGGGCTCGAACCCAGGCTCTCAGCCGTGGTGTCTCAGCGTCTCCGACATGGCCATTGTGAACCGCTGAGAGAGAGAAAGACACACCCAGACCCAGGGCTCGAACCCAGGCTCTCAGCCGTGATGTCTCAGTGTCTCTGACATGGCCATTGTGAACCCCCTGAGTGAGAGAGAGACACCCAGACCCAGGGCTCGAACCCAGGCTCTCAGCCGTGATGTCTCAGCGTCTCCGACACGGTCATTGTGAACCCCCTGAGAGAGAGAGACACCCAGACCCAGGGCTCTAACCCAGGCTCTCAGCCGTGGTGTCTCAGCGTCTCCGACACGGCCATTGTGAACCACGCTCAGGTGTAGGTGTTGTCGTGGTTGTCAATCTTGGGGTGAGTCCCACAGACTGCTCCGAGTGGGGCCTCTGCAGATGGACAGGACTTCCAACCACCTGGACACACACGGAGACACACGGACACCCACGGACACGTTCGTACAAGGACAAAGGTAACCCCCCCGTGTAGCCTGAACAGACTGTTGGGGCAAGTGCTGTCAGCGAGAGCCTATGAACGCCGGCACTGTGGCACACGAGGGGGTAGTGGGTGGCCAGCACCACGACCGGCCGCCTTTGTCTCCCCAGTGGCGATGTTTACACATCACAACCAGGTACTCATTTGAGGCCGAGTGGACCTAGAGGAGGCCCAAGACCGGTTCAGTTAATCGTCACTGGCGTTGGCCGTGAGCGGGAATCGAACTCGGGTTACCTGGTCCGTAGTGCAGCGCGCTAACCAACTACACCACTGCTCCCGACCGATACACACAACAACAACAACAACCGCCATTCACCATTTCGCTAGGGAGATCATCTCTGCCCGGTGCCTTTCCTGGTCTCAGAGACTCTGGATTGCCCTCTCAGTACTTCCTCAACGGACGGCACTTCAGCCAGCCACTCACAGGGGGTGGACTTCCTCCTCCAATATTTGAGGCACCGCAGCCTCAGCAGGGTCATCTCCCCACTTTGCCCCACGATGTCTTCCAGGCTGAGGGATTTCCCCTCCCCCGAGACCTCACAGAAAATGCTCAGCAAATGTGCAAACCTGTTCCTGGGGGGGGGTGGGGTCGGAGTTTGGATCACCGTTCTTCCCCCCTAACGATGGTGATAGGTGCGGCACTACAAGCTACGTCTTCTTTGGTTCTTTCGGTAAAGTCACCACCACGTAGAATGAGAATAAAATAATAAATTGATCAAATTAAAATAACATAACGCGATAATATTCTCACGACGTTTCGGCCACAACACAAGCGGCCTTCATCAGGCGAAGGGGGCGAGACTGTCTGGTAGGACAGCGCTGGAGCGTCACATTTTTAATGGATTTAAAGAGCGATTTGCGATCGCGGGCCACCGAGGCAACGGGTGGTGGTGGGGTGGCCGGCAACCGCGCCCGGCCGCCTTTGTCTCCCCCCCCGGCGCTTGCCCGCACGTCACACCTCTGAAAGGTGAACTGGCCCTCGGCGCGGAACAGATAGCTGTGAGCCCGCAGACGCAGGCGGAAGACGAAGTCGCATCTCCCGCCGTCGTCGCCCTCCCGCTGCACCGCCGTCTCCGCCCCCTCGCCGGCGCCGCCGCCGGTGTCGCCGGTGTCGCCGTCGGCGTCGGCGACGTCCTCCACCGCAGACACCGAGTAGCCCAGCAGGGGCAGGCTCGCTAGCGGGGCGTCCTCCTTTGACGACGACGACGACGATGGCACAACGAAAACAACGAAAACAACAACGCCCGTGTCGGCCGATCGAAACGTCGCGATTGATTTTAGAAGAGCATGGTTCTCCTGCAGTCGCGAACGCTTCAAATCAAGATGAGAACAACGACGACGAGGACACAAAGACATTAAAGGTTCACCACGCGCACCGCGTGGCCTCTGACGCTGTTGGGCCGAGTGCTGTTTGGTAGCAGCAGCAGCAGCAGCCAATGAAGGCTGCCGGCACTGTGGCAACACGAGGGGGTGGGTGGCCAGCAGCAACCACGCCCGGCCGCCTTTGTCTCCCCCAGTGGCGATGTTTACTACACCACCGCATCGGGTACTCATTCGAGGCCGAGTCGACCTAGGGGAGGCCCAGGGCCGGTTCAGATAATCGTCACCGGTGTTGGCCGTTGAGCAGGAATCGAACCCGGGTCGCCAGGTTCGTAGCGCTAACCACGACACTACCACTCCCCATCCAGGCCACACACTGCGAACACACGCACGCACACACACACACGCTCGCACGCACGCACGCACACGCACACACACACACACTCGCACGCACACACACACACACGCTCGCACGCACGCACAAAGATAAAGATCCCCCGTATAGCCTTAACAGACTGTAGGGGCAAGTGCTGTTAGCGAGCACCTATGAAGGCCGGAACGGTACACGAGGGGGTGGGTGGCCAGCACCACGCCCGACCGCCTTTGTCTCCCCAGTGGCAATGTTTTTATCCACCGCACCAGGTACTCATTTGAGGCTGAGTCGGCCTAGGAGAGGCCCAGGACCGGTTCAGATCATCGTCACCGGTGTTGGCCGTGAGCGGGAATCGAACCCGGGTCGCCGGGTTCGTAGCGCAGCGCGCTAACCACTACACCCACCGCTCCCCACGCGCACACACACGTGTACACACACGTGCACACACACGTGTACACACACACACACACGTGCACACACACGTGCACACGCACACACACGTGTACACACACACACACGTGCACACACACGCTCGCACGCACACGCACACACACGTGCACACACACACACACGTGTACACACACGTGTACACACACGTGTACACACACGTGCACACACACACACACGTGCACACACACACACACGTGCACACACACACACACACACGCTCGCACATCAACAAGTACACAGAGACACCCAGGGCCATGGTGGAGGGTTTCCCAACCTGATGGTTCTTGTAGAAGTAGAGACAGAAGTTGGAGAAGACGACCCAAAGCTTCTGCCACCCTCTGCTCATCTTGAACTTGCGTAGCAGGTAACCAGACAGCTGGCTCTGTGGGGACAGCAGGTAACCAGACAGCTGGCTCTGTGGGGACAGCAGGTAACCAGACAGCTGGCTCTGTGGGGACAGCAGGTAACCAGACAGCTGGCTCTGTGGGGACAGCAGGTAACCAGACAGCTGGCTCTGTGGGGACAGCAGGTAACCAGACAGCTGGCTCTGTGGGGACAGCAGGTAACCAGACAGCTGGCTCTGTGGGGACAGCAGGTAACGAGACAGCTGGCTCTGTGGGGACAGCAGGTAACCAGACAGCTGGCACTGTGGGGACAGCAGGTAACCAGACAGCTGGCTCTGTGGGGACAGCAGGTAACCAGACAGCTGGCTCTGTGGGGACAGCAGGTAACCAGACAGCTGGCTCTGTGGGGACAGCAGGTAACCAGACAGCTGGCTCTGTGGGGACAGCAGGTAACCAGACAGCTGGCTCTGTGGGGACAGCAGGTAACGAGACAGCTGGCTCTGTGGGGACAGCAGGTAACGAGACAGCTGGCTCTGTGGGGACAGCAGGTAACCAGACAGCTGGCTCTGTGGGGACAGCAGGTAACCAGACAGCTGGCTCTGTGGGGACAGCAGGTAACCAGACAGCTGGCTCTGTGGGGACAGCAGGTAACCAGACAGCTGGCACTGTGGGGACAGCAGGTAACCAGACAGCTGACTCTGTGGAGACAGCAGGTAACCAGACAGCTGGCTCTGTGGGGACACGGGACAGCAGGTAACCAGACAGCTGGCTCTGTGGGGACAGCAGGTAACCAGACAGCTGTCTCTGTGGGGACAGCAGGTAACCAGACAGCTGTCTCTGTGGGGACATGGGACAGCAGGTAACCAGACAGCTGGCTCTGTGGAGACAGCAGGTAACCAGACAGCTGGCTCTGTGGGGACAGCAGGTAACCAGACAGCTGGCTCTGTGGGGACAGCAGGTAACCAGACAGCTGGCTCTGTGGGGACAGCAGGTAACCAGACAGCTGGCTCTGTGGGGACAGCAGGTAACCAGACAGCTGACTCTGTGGGGACAGCAGGTAACCAGACAGCTGGCTCTGTGGGGACAGCAGGTAACCAGACAGCTGGCACTGTGGGGACAGCAGGTAACCAGACAGCTGACTCTGTGGAGACAGCAGGTAACCAGACAGCTGGCTCTGTGGGGACAGCAGGTAACCAGACAGCTGGCTCTGTGGGGACAGCAGGTAACCAGACAGCTGGCTCTGTGGGGACAGTAGGTAACCAGACAGCTGGCTCTGTGGGGACAGCAGGTAACGAGACAGCTGGCTCTGTGGGGACAGCAGGTAACGAGACAGCTGGCTCTGTGGGGACAGCAGGTAACCAGACAGCTGGCTCTGTGGGGACAGCAGGTAACCAGACAGCTGGCTCTGTGGGGACAGCAGGTAACGAGACAGCTGGCTCTGTGGGGACAGCAGGTAACCAGACAGCTGGCTCTGTGGGGACAGCAGGTAACCAGACAGCTGGCTCTGTGGAGACAGCAGGTAACCAGACAGCTGGCTCTGTGGGGACAGCAGGTAACCAGACAGCTGACTCGGTGGGGACAGCAGGTAACCAGACAGCTGACTCTGTGGGGACACGGGACAGCAGGTAACCAGACAGCTGACTCGGTGGGGACACGGGACAGCAGGTAACCAGACAGCTGACTCGGTGGGGACACGGCACAGCGTGTGAGAGGCAACCTGTTCCCCTACCTTGGCCATGATGAGGTTGTCGCAGAGGGAGAGACTGTGACCCCGCAGCCAGCAGACGTGGGTCAGGGAGTTGGGTCTCGGCTCTGTCGCAGCAGGAAGTTCACCTCCACGCACGCACATGTACAGACAAAGGTCCCCCTTGTAGCCTCAGCAGACTGTAGGGGCAAGTGCTGTTAGCGAGCAGCACCTATAAAGGCTACCGGCACTTTGGTAACCGAGGGCGTTGTGGAGTCAGCACCACGCCCGGCCGCCTTTGTCTCCCCCAGTGGCGATGTTTAATACACAGCGCACCAGGTACTCATTTGAGGCTGGGTCGTAACTAGGGGAGGCCCAGGACCGGTTCAGATAATCGTCACCAGTGGTGTTGGTGGCCGTGAGTGGGAATCGAACTCGGGTCGCTGGGTTTGTAGTGCGGCGTGCTCACCACTGCGCCACCGCTCCCCGCACACAAAGGCCCCCCGTGTAGCCTCAACAGACTGCAGGGGCAAGTGCTGTTAAGCGAGCACCTATGAAGGTAGACACATACAAAGATCCCCCGTGTAGCCTCTAAGAGACTGCAGGGGCAAGTACTGTTAAGCGAGCAGCACCTATGAAGGCTACCGGCACTGTGGCACACGAGGGGGTGGGTGGCCAACACCACGCCCGGCCGCCTTTGTCTCCCCCAGTGGCGATGTTTACTACACACCGCTACACCAGGTACTCATTTGAGGCTGGGTCGACCTAGGTGGGCGGGAATCGAACACGGATTTCCGGGTTCGTAGCGCAGCGTAGCGCTAACCACTACACTACCGCTCCCCACACACACACACAGGTACACACACACACACGCACGCACGGACACATCAACAACACGTGTGCATTATGTATGTTGAACTTTTTTCGCACCGCAACTTAGCCGAGCGTGCAAATCGTCATCACGTGCTGATGCTGCTGATGTTGATGGTGCTGCTTGTGTCGAGGACATTGTTGATGATGTCAACGATGTTGTTGATATTCATATTCTTAGTTTTTTCGGTAAAGTAAAAACAAATATAAATATATATAATATATTGTTTCTATATATTTTATTATTTTGTTGTTTCTCTTCAACGTGACTTTACCGAAAAAACTAAGAATATGAATTACTGCAGTCACGAAAGCTTTAAATCAAGATGTTGTTGATGTTAATCACGACGATGATGACGATGTTGCTGATGTTCATGTTCATCATGATGATGTTGATGGTGTTGATGTTGTTTCTTTGTAAGCCATCTGGCTACCATGAGAGATTCGTTCATGAGGCTATCCGCATATACAAGCACAGAGACAATTTCAACCGAGAAGATGGATTCTGGCTTGGCAATCATTGGAAAGATTTGATAAACCATTTCGGGTCTTAATTGATTGTTCACGCTTACAGTGGCTTTCAGACAACATACATAAATTTTTCATCTCCCCCCTCCTCTTTTCAGAACATAGATGGACTCGTCCTTCTAAATAAACTGCCAAATCACTGCGCGTGGCGCTGACGTTTTTTTAATAAAGAAATAAATACACCGTAAAAAAATAAATTAATTAATGCAAAACCGGCACACCTGATGACGACCGTTTGTGTTATGGTCGAAACGTCGTGAGAATTTTTATTGTTTTAAATATATTTTATTATTTTATTGTTTCCCTTCAACGTGACTTTGCCGAAAGAGTTAAGAATATGAATTACTGCAGTCACGAAAAGCTTTAAATCAAGATGTTGTTGATGTTTATGTTCAGCATGATGATAATGTTGATGGTGTCGAAGATGGCGCTGCTGTTGATGATGATGATGATGCTCGCAACGGGACCTACTCTCCATCACAATCCCCTCTCCACCTCCTCCACCTCCTCCACCTCCTCCTCCTCCTCCTCCACCACTCCTCTTCGCGTGACAAATCGCCTGGTCCAGGTCCGAGAGCCAAGCCTCCATCTCCTGGGGAGAACTTCCTCGCAAACAAAGACAAAGGTCCCCCGTGTAGCCCAGCACGCGACGGCGGGGCAAGTGCTGCTTGCTTCAGGGCGTGCAGGATGGCATTGTAGGCAGGATGGGATTGTAGGGGGATGGGATTCTAGGGAGGGTGGGATTGTAGGGGGGGTGGGATTGTAGGGGGGGGGGGTTGTAGGGGGGATGGGATTGTAGGGAGGGTGGGATTGTAGGATGGGATTGTAGCGGGGATGGGATTGTAGCGGGGATGGGATTGTAGGGCGGGTGGGATTGTAAGGGGGATGGGATTGTAGGGAGTAGGGGATTGTAGGGAGGGTGGGATTGTAGGGGGGATGGGATTGTAGGGAGGGTGGGATTGTAGGGGGTATGGGATTGTAGGAGGGTATGGGATTGTAGGAGGGTATGGGATTGTAGGGAGGGTGGGATTGTAGGGAGGGTGGGATTGTAGGGGGTATGGGATTGTAGGAGGGTATGGGATTGTAGGGAGGGTGGGATTGTAGGGAGGGTGGGATTGTAGGCAGGGTGGGATTGTAGGGGGATGGGATTGTAGGGAGGGTGGGATTGTAGGGAGGGTGGGATTGTAGGGAGGGTGGGATTGTAGGGGGGGTAGGGGATTATAGGGAGGATGGGATTGTAGGGAGGTTGGGATTGTAGGGAGGGTGGGATTGTAGGGAGGGTGGGATTGTAGGGAGGTTGGGATTGTAGGGAGGGTGGGATTGTAGGGAGGTTGGGATTGTAGGGAGGGTGGGATTGTAGGGAGGGTGTGATTGTAGGGGGAGTAGGGGATTGTAGGGAGGGTGGGATTGTAGGGAGGATGGGATTGTAGGGAGGGTGTGATTGTAGGGAGGATGGGATTGTAGGGAGGGTGGGATTGTAGGGAGGGTGTGATTGTAGGGGGGGTGGGATTGTAGGGAGGGTGGGATTGTAGGAAGGGTGTGATTGTAGGGGGGGTGGGATTGTAGGGGGGGGTGGGATTGTAGGGAGGGTGGGATTGTAGGGGGGGTGGGATTGTAAGGAAGGTGGGATTGTAGGGAGGGTGGGATTGTAGGGGGGTAGGGGATTGTAGGGGGGATGGGATTGTAGGGGGTATGGGATTGTAGGGAGGATGGGATTGTAGGGAGGATGGGATTGTAGGGAGGGTGGGATTGTAGGGAGGGTGGGATTGTAGGGAGGGTGTGATTGTAGGGAGGATGGGATTGTAGGGAGGGTGGGATTGTAGGGAGGGTGTGATTGTAGGGGGGGGGTGGGATTGTAGGGAGGGTGGGATTGTAAGGGGGGTGGGATTGTAGGGAGGGTGGGATTGTAGGGAGGGTGGGATTGTAGGGGGGGGGGGTGGGATTGTAGGGAAGGTGGGATTGTAGGGAGGGTGGGATTGTAGGGAGGGTGGGATTGTAGGGAGGGTGGGATTGTAGGGGGGGTGGGATTGTAGGGAGGGTGGGATTGTAGGGGGGGGGGTGGATTGTAGGGGGGATGGGATTGTAGGGGGGGTAGGGGATTGTAGGGAGGGTGGGATTGTAGGGGGGGTAGGGGATTGTAGGGGGGGTAGGGGATTGTAGGGGGGGTGGGATTGTAGGGAGGGTGGGATTGTAGGGGGGGTGGGATTGTAGGGAGGGTGGGATTGTAGGGAGGGTGGGATTGTAGGGGGGGTAGGGGATTGTAGGGGGGGTGGGATTGTAGGGAGGGTGGTATTGTAGGTCTCTCGCGTAGCCTCTAGCAGGCCGTTGGGGCAAGTGCTGTTAGCGACCAGCGGTAGCGGCGTTCATTGCACCAGCAAAGGCTCAGTGAGCTCTGTAGCGCTCTTTCCGAAGCGACCTGGCTGCCACAAATGATAACTCAACACGGCGGCCGAGCATCCCGTGGAGATGTAGAGCAGGCAAACACTCCAAACGCACGTTTCCAAATGTGGAGGGTAAAACCGGAGGACGCGGGAGAAAATCCACGCGAACACGGAGAGAGAGAGAGGCACGCAAACTCCAAATATACAGCAGCAGCAGCAGGCGTCAGGGTCAGGATCGAACCCACGACCTCCTGCACACTAGGCGAGGTAGTTAACATCTCCTAGCCACCGTGATGAGAGCATCATGATCATCATCACCATCGCCACCACCATCATCAGCCACCATCAGCACCACCATTCATCAACACCATTCATCATCACCATTCATCATCATCATCACCACCATCATCATCACCATTCATCATCACCACCACCATCATCACCATTCATCATCACCACCATCATCATCATCATCACCATCACTCATCACTACCACCACCAGCACCACCACTCATCACCACCATCATCATCACCACCACCATCAGCACCACCACTCATCATCACCGTCATCATCACCACCATCATCATCATCATCACCACCACCACCACCATCAGCACCACCACTCATCATCACCACCATCATCATCACCACCATCATCATCACCACCATCATCATCATCACCACCACCACCACCATCATCATCACCACCACTCATCACCACCATCATCACCACCACCACCACCAGCACCACCACTCATCACCACCATCATCGGCAAGGACATCTCAAGAGGTCGCTCCGTGATATCCGCACGTGCGCTGTGGTGGCAGATTAACGGATAAGGGCGCGAGAGGGGAGAAACAAAGACGGACCTGGCAGACAGCACCATGGACTTGTGAGCCGAGAAGATGGTGAAGCAGTTGGAGACTACCACGGGGGTGTCTCCCTCCTGCGGCCCATACAAAGACAAAGATCCCCAACCTCCTCTCCCGTGTAGCCTCAAGGGAGTGCAGGGGCAAGTGCTGTTAGCGAGCAGCACCTATGAAGGATGCCGGCACTGTGGCACACGAGGGGGTGGGTGGCCAGCACCACGCCCGGCCGCCTTTGTCTCCCCAGTGGCGATGTTTACCGCACGCCGCGACACCGGGTACTCGTTTGAGGCGACCTAAGGGAGGCCCAGGACCGGTTCACCCACACACACTCACACACTCATACACACATACACACACTCACATACACACACTCACACACACACACACTCTCACTCATACACTCACTCACTCACACACTCACACACTCTCACTCATACACTCACTCACTCACACACTCATACACACATACACAACAACAACAACAACCGCCATTCGCCACTAAGTGGCGGTGACGTCACCACGACGCTTGTGCCAGGCTATGTGCACCCTGAGGCCACGTGAAGTGTCGAACGCCCGCTGGCAGGAGGTCACGGGGCAGACCCAGGTGCCACGGGTCGACTGACTGAGATGACTGGCTGATGCACCACCTGTGCCCCCTACTGTGCCAACCTGCTGTGCTTTAGCCACCCGGCGCTCCGCTCGCTATTGTGAGCGTCGCTCCTCCGCCCTCCGTTGTTGTTGGAGGGCGACTGCCTCCAACTGCCCAGTAGCATCCTTCACGAGCCTCCTCCACAGAGGCCGATCTTGACACCGCTGGTACCAGTCATCGGCAAGTCCACTCAGCTCCACGTCCTCCTGTACCACATCACTCCATCTCTTCTCTAGCCCGTGCCGCGCCCGCTTAGCCCCCTCAATCCGGCCAAACAAAAGCTGTTTCGGCATGCGGTGGCTGGGCATGCGGGCTACATGACCCAGCCATCGCAGCCTTGCCTGCCGGAGGAGCTCACCGATGGGACCCTGCCCAGATCTTTCAAGGATTTGTGAGCTCCTCACACAATCCAGTCTGGTTAAACCCAGGATGGATCGTAGGCAGGCCAGCCTAAATGTTTCTAACCGGCGAAGATGTTCCATTAGGGGGGTCCACGTTCGCAAGCGTAGAGAAGGGAGGGAATGACCGTGGCCGAGAAGACCTGAAGCTTAGTGCGGAGCGACAGACCAGGTAGCTTCCACACAGCGTTACGCAACCGATGAAAAGATATTGCCGCTCGACTGATTCGGAGTGAGACCTCTGCTGTTAAACTGGAGCCAGTCATAAGCACACTGCCCAGGTATGGGAAACTCTCCACTCTCTCCACAACTGCCCCATCACCGATTGGGAGTTGTGGGGGTGGAGTGTCGGATGGTACAAAATACCCAGGCAGGTGCTTAGTTTTGGTGGGGCTGATGGTAAGGCCCCACCTCTTAGTGGCACGCTCCAGTCTCAGCAGCAGCGTCTCCAACTCCTCCTCTGACTGAGCAGCTATTACCAAGTCATCAGCATACATAACGTGGTTGAGCAATAGGGAGCCATCCCTTGACCGCACCCGGGCATCGATTAGCCTCCCATTATATCTGTACCATATGGAGATTCCCCCGGTACAGCTATTGAAGGCTTCACGAACTACGTGGTCAAAATAGATGTTAAATAATGTGGGAGCCAGAGGACATCCCTGTCGCACCCCAAGGTGTACAAGGAATGGCTCTGACTCCCGGCCACGTAGTTTTACCCGGGCCCGCTCACCATCATGAAGGTCCTTAATGATCGTGAGCAGAGGGTCAGGTACTCCAAAAGCACGAAGAACGACCCAGAGCCCAGGCCTACTGATGGTATCATAGGCCTTGACCAGGTCAATAAAGCAGAGATGTAGGTCTTGTTGGAATTCCCTACACCTCTGCTGTAGCAGACGGACAGAAAATATGGCATCTGTGCAGGACCGCCCTTTCCTGAAACCGCATTGGGGCTCCGCAAGCCTCTCCTCAGCGTGCCTGGCAAGGCGATGCTGAATAATCCTTGCCAGGACCTTTCCCGGCACACTGAGGAGTGAGATGCCCCTGTAGTTGTTACAGTCTGTGCGGTCCCCCTTCTTAAAAAGGGGGACCACCAGGGCATCCTTCCAATCCTGCGGAACCCGTCCAGTGGTCCAGACTGTTGTTATGATGTCATATAGGGCAGTCTGTGCACAAACGCCACCCTCCCTCAGCATTTCGCTTGGGAGATCATCTCTGCCCGCTGCCTTTCCTGGTCTCAGACTCCGGATCGCCTTCAATACTTCCTCAGCAGATGGCACCTCAGCCAGCCACTCACAGGGGGTGACTTCTTCCAATATTTGAGGCACCGCAGCCTCAGCAGGGTCATCCTCACTTTGTGCCACGATGTTTTCCTGGCTGAGGGAGTTTCCCTCCCCCAGGACCTCACAGAAATGCTCAGCAAATCTGCGAACCTGTTCCTGGGGGTCGGAAATTGGATCACCGTTTTTTCCCCTAATGATGGTAATAGGTGTGGCGCTGCAGGTTACTTTTTTGATGGAGTTAAATAGAGATTTGTGATCACGGGCCACTGAGGCAGACTCCATCTCCTCAGCAACCCGCGACCACCACCCATCCTTGCAGCGCCTCACGGCTCTCCGAACCTCCGAGCGAAGGCTGCGGTAAGCCTCCTCATTCTCTGACGTGGGATTCTGTAGCCGATGACAGTGGGCCTGTCGCTTTTTCTCAACCATCCTGAACAACTCCTCTGTCATCCAGGGTGTCTGGGGAGGTCTGGACCGCGTACCCAAAGCAGCCATTGCAGCTGCATGAGTCACAGTCCTAAACCTCGCCCATTTACCCTCGACATCAGGAGGAGTCGGGGACGATGCCAATCCCAGCCGCAAGCGATGATGAAATTCTCGCTTGCAACTTTCATCAGATAACTGAGACCAGGCCACTTTAGGTTGGAATGGGGTCCTGGGTGTACACCCACCACCGGAGTGGAAGAATGGCAGGCGCATCTTACAGATGACTAGTCGATGGTCAGAGGGCAGATCAGCTCCACGGTAGGTCCTGGTGTCAAGGACATGGGCTCGCATTCGTTGGTCCGTCACTATGTAGTCCAGCAGATGTTCTTGCTTGGACCCGGCATGCATCCATGATGTTGTGTGGATGCGCCGATGCCGGAACAGCGTGTTGGTAATTACAAGCCCATGGGCTGCACAAAAATCTAGCAGCCTCCTACCGTTGTTATTGAGCTGATCTGGCCCATGCCCTCCAATCACTCCAGACCAGGTGCCAGTATCATGACCAACTCGGGCATTGAAGTCACCCACCATGATGACTCTATCCCGAGGGGCCACTTTAGCCAGCACCTGTGACAGGAGGTCATAGAAGGCATCTGACTCATCGGCTTTGCCTGCATCCCTCCACGGATGTTCATCTTCGGTGGGGGCATAAGTAACCACGACCACCATTCCTCGCCTCCGGTTGATGGGAAGGCGAGCCCAAAGTAGCCTGGGGCTTACAGCTTCCCACACCTCACCGCCACGCTCCCACGCCCCCTTCATTCTTTTGTTCAAAAGAAGACCCACACCCTGTTGTTTGGCAGTCTGCTGCCCCGAGTAGAGGACTGTCCACCCCTCATGGTGGCAGGAGCCAGAGCCGGTCCACCGGACCTCCTGAATGCCGCATAGATCCAGGCGGTACCGGTCCAGCTCCCGACAGAGGAGTGGCAGCCTCTCCTCTGCAGTGAGCGTTCGAACATTCCACGTGGCCAACCGTAGTGGCTTTTCGTTGTTTCTGGAGTAGCCCCGAGGGTAGGTATTCAATCTCCTGGCTCCGCCAATTGGGGTTTGGCCAGGAGACGTCATAGACGCCTGGCCCCCCGGGGCCTCCGGCACAAGCTTAGTTGTTACATATTTCAGTTTAATTCGTAGTTTCGTGGTAATTAATTGAAGGTGGAGGGGTTACCAGCCCCTCGCACCCGTCCAGAGCCCCCGTTTAGCCCCTGTGGTGGATACACATACACACACACTCATACACACACACTCACTCATACACACACTCACTCATACACACACACACACTCACTCATACACACTCATACACACACACACACTCATACACACACTCACACACATTCACTCACTCATACAAAGACAAAGATCCCCCATATAGCCTTAACAGACTGTAGGGGCAAGTGCTGTTAGCGAGCACCTATGAAGGCCGGAACGGTACACGAGGGGGTGGGTGGCCAGCACCACGCCCGACCGCCTTTGTCTCCCTAGTGGCAATGTTTACACACCGCACCAGGTACTCATTTGAGGCTGAGTCGACCACTCATACACACACTCACACACACTCATACACACACTCATACACTCACACACACTCACTCATACACACACTCACACTCACTCATATACACACACGCACTCACACACACACACTCACACACACACACTCACTCATACACTCACTCATACACACACTCATACACACACTCATACACACACTCACACACTCTCACTCATACACTCTCACTCATACACTCACTCACTCACACACTCATACACACACACTCATACACACACTCATACACCCACACACACTCACATACACACACTCACACACACTCACACACACACATACACACACTCACACATACACACTCACACATACACACACACTCGCTCACACACACACTCACACACTCTCACTCATACACTCACTCACTCACACACACTCATACACTCATACACTCACTCATACACTCACACACACTCACACACTCACACACACTCACACATACACTCACACACACACACTCACTCACACAATCTTACCGGTGGCTCCAAAACGATGAGCTGCAAAGAGACAACATGAAGCGTGATGGTCAACCGCGAGGTGAGTTGTCCGCATGGCCTGCTGCGTCCCGCCACGTTAACGTGGAGTGGGCGATGCGCTGGGGTGCACCGCGGAGCAAGCGAGCATCACGCCGGATGTACTGTGTCCCGTCGCGGTAACGCGGAGTGGGCACTCACGATCATGCCGTGCAGGGGAATGCGTCCGGCCACGGGGAACTGGTTGTGGGCAGTGAGGTCCCGGCGCGTGTAGATGAGGGCGTCCAGGAACTGGACATCGAAGAACACCATCGGAGGGGGGACAGCAGCAGAGGCAAAGGTTCCCCCAGGTAGGCTTGGCAGACTGTCGTGTGTGTACCTGAGTGTGTGTGTGTGTGTACGTGCGTGTGTACCTGAGTGTGTGTGTGTGTACGTGTGTGTGTACCTGTGGTGCATGTGTGTGTACGTGTGTGTGTGTGTGTGTACCCATGTGTGTGTGTGTGTACGTGTATGTGCGTGTGTGTGTATGTATGTGTGTGTACCTGTGGTGCATGTGTGTGTATGTGTGTGTACGTGTGTGTACGTGTGTGTAAGTGTGTGTAAGTGTGTGTCCCTGAGTGTGTGTGTGTACGTGCGTGTGTACCCGTGGTGCATGTGTGTGTACGTGTGTGTACGTGTGTGTGTGTGTACGTGTGTGTGCGTGTGTGTACGTGTGTCCCTGAGTGTGTGTGTGTACGTGCGTGTGTACCTGTGGTGCATGTGTGTGTACGTGTGTGTACGTGTGTGTATGTGTGTGTGTGTGTACGTGTGTGTGCGTGTGTGTACGTGTGTGTCCCTGAGTGTGTGTGTGTACGTGCGTGTGTACCTGTGGTGCATGTGTGTGTACGTGTGTGTACGTGTGTGTGTGTACGTGTGTGTACGTGTGTGTGTGTACGTGTGTGTGCGTGTACTTCACGTGGCCTCAGGGTGCACAAGCGTCGTGGTGACGTCACCGCCACTTAGTGGCGAATGGCGGTTGTGGTTGTTGTTGTTGTACGTGTGTGTGTATGTGTGGTGTGTGTGTGTATGGTACATGTGTGCGTGTGTACGTGTGTGTGGTACTTGTGTGTGTGTGCGAGTACGATTCTAGCTCACGGCTGACACCGGTGACGATTATCTGAACCGGTCCTGGGCCTCCCCTAGGTCGCCTCAGTCTCAAATTAGTTCCTTGGTGCTGTGTGTAGTAAACATCGCCACTGGGGAGACAAAGGCGGCCGGGCGTGGTGCTGGCCACCCACCCCCTCGTGTGCCACAGTGCCGTTAGCCTTCATAGGTCCTGCTCGCTAACAGCACTTGCCCCTGCGGTCTGTTAGAGGCTACACGGGAGAGCTTTGTCTTTGTGTGTGTGTGAAGAACCCTCCACCACCTGACGCATCGTCGCTCACCAGGAAGAACATGCGCTGCTGGGGCCCCGAGCGCGTGAGCTTCAAGAGTCGACCCTCACGCACAAACACCTGCGGAGCCACGCACCACAAACACACCGCGTAGCACACACACACCACACACACACCACACACGTACCACACACACACCACGCACGTACCACGCACACACCACGTAGCACACACGTACCACGCATGTACCACGCACACACCACACACGTACCACGCACACACCACACACCACACACACACCGCGTACCATGCACGTACCACGCACGTACCACGCACGTACCACGCACGTACCACGTACCACGAACCACGTACCACGCACGCACCATGCACGCACCACGTACCACACACACAGCACACACGTACCATGTACCACGCACCACACACCGCACGCACCACACACGCACCACGTACCACGCACGCCCCCACCTCGCACGCACACACCACCCACGCACCACGCACACACCACACACACACCACACACACACCACACACACACCACACACACACCACGCACACACCACGCACACACCACACACACACCACACACACACCACACACACACCACACACACACCACACACACACCACACCACGCACACACCACGCACACACCACGCACACACCACGCACACACCACGCACGTACCACACACACACCACACACACACCACATACACACCACGCACACACCACGCACGTACCACGCACACACCACGCCGCACGCACCACTAAATCTTATCTCTCCAGGTGAGGGCCTACGGAACTGTGTAGCTCTTTTTCAGAAGCCACGTGGCTATCGCAAATGATAGCTCACACGAAGTGGCTCGCGATGATCATCGTCGTCATCACGTGGAAGTTTATAGCGGCAGCAAAATACTCGAAACGTGTAACGTTGATTCTAAACGTGGAGGGGGGAAAAATCGGGGGGATCCGGAGAAAAATCCACGTGACCACGGGGAGAGAGAGAGAGAGACGCTAAGTAAAAATATACAGCAGCAGGCGTCAGGGATGGGATCGAACCCACGACCTCCTGCGTACCAGGCGAGGTAGTCAACATCTCCTAGCCACACACAAATATACAGCAGGGTCGGGATCGAACCCACGACCTCCTGCACGCCAGGTGAGGTAGCTAACATCTCCTAGCCACACACAAATATAGAGCAAGGTCGGGATCGAACCCACGACCTCCTGCGTACCGGGCGAGGTATTTAACATCTCTTAGCCACACACAAATATACAGCAGGGTCGGGATCAAACCAACGACCTCCTGCGTACCGGGCGAGGTAGTTAACATCTCCTAGCCACACACAAATATAGAGCAAGGTCGGGATCGAACCCACGACCTCCTGCGTACCGGGCGAGGTATTTAACATCTCTTAGCCACACACAAATATACAGCAGGGTCGGGATCAAACCAACGACCTCCTGCGTACCGGGCGAGGTAGTTAACATCTCCTAGCCACACACAAATATAGAGCAAGGTCGGGATCGAACCCACGACCTCCTGCGTACCGGGCGAGGTATTTAACATCTCCTAGCCACACACAAATATACAGCAGGCTCGGGATCGAACCCACGACCTCCTGCGTACCAGGCGAGGTAGTCAACATCTCCTAGCCACACACAAATATAGAGCAAGGTCGGGATCGAACCCACGACCTCCTGCGTGCCAGGCGAGGTTGTTAACATCTCCTAGTCACACACAAATATAGAGCAAGGTCGGGATCGAACCCACGACCTCCTGCGTACCGGGCGAGGTAGTTAACATCTCCTAGCCACACACAAATATACAGCAGGGTCGGGATGGAACCCACGACCTCCTGCGTGCCAGGCGAGGGAGCTAACATCTCCTAGCCACACACAAATATACAGCAAGGTCGGGATCGAACCCACGACCTCCTGCGTACCAGGCGAGGTTGTTAACATCTCCTAGCCACACACAAATATACAGCAGGGTCGGGATCGAACCCACGACCTCCTGCGTGCCAGGCGAGGTTGTTAACATCTCCTAGCCACACACAAATATACAGCAGGGTCGGGATCGAACCCACGACCTCCTGCGTGCCAGGCGAGGTAGTTAACATCTCCTAGCCACACACAAATATACAGCAGGCTCGGGATCGAACCCACGTCCTCCTGCGTACCAGGCGAGGTAGTCAACATCTCCTAGCCACACACAAATATACTGCAGGCTCGGGATCGAACCCACGACCTCCTGCGTGCCAGGCGAGGGAGCTAACATCTCCAAGCCACACATAAATATACAGCAGGCTCGGGATGGAACCCACGACCTCCTGCGTGCCAGGCGAGGGAGCTAACATCTCCTAGCCACACACAAATATACAGCAAGGTCGGGATCGAACCCACGACCTCCTGCGCGTCAGGCGAGGGAGCTAACATCTCGTAGCCACAAACAAATATACAGCAGGCTCGGGATCGAACCCACGACCTCCTGTGTACCAGGCGAGGTAGTCAACATCTCCTAGCCACACACACAAATATACAGCAGGCTCGGGATCGAACCCACGACCTCCTGTGTACCAGGCGAGGTAGTCAACATCTCCTAGCCACACACAAATACACAGCAGGCTCGGGATCGAACCCACGACCTCCTGTGTACCAGGCGAGGTAGTCAACATCTCCTAGCCACACACAAATACACAGCAGGCTCGGGATCGAACCCACGACCTCCTATGTACCAGGCGAGGTAGTCAACATCTCCTAGCCACACACAAATATACAGCAGGCTCGGGATGGAACCCACGACCTCCTGCGCGTCAGGCGAGGTTGTTAACATCTCCTAGCCACACACAAATATACAGCAGGGTCGGGATCGAATCCACGACCTCCTGCGTGCCAGGCGAGGTAGTCAACATCTCCTAGCCACACACAAATATACAGCAGGCTCGGGATGGAACCCACGACCTCCTGCGCGCCAGGCGAGGGAGCTAACATCTCCCAGCCAGCGTGGTCCAAGCGGAGGGGGGTGTCAGTCCAGGTGTAAACCCGGCAGCGGGTGGGGTCCCAACCTTGCCAGGAGTGCTCAGCTTGCCGATCCCCACGACGTCGCGACCCAGTGCGGCCAGCTTCTCCGCATTCTCCATGCGAGCCGCCACCTCCTGCGTAACGTCGGTGATGCGCGACACCTCCTGCAGCGCGGCTGGCGGACGCGCACACGCACACACACAGACACGCACACACGCACAGACACACACACGCACACACACGCACACACGCACACACACACGCACGCGCACGCACGCACGCACACACACGCACACACGCACACACGCACACACGCACGCGCACGCACACACACACACGCACACACGCACACACGCACACACACGCACACACGCACACGCACGCACGCACACACACACACGCGCACGCACACACACACACACACGCACACACACGCACACACACGCACACACACACACGCGCACGCACACGCACACACACACACACACACGCACGCAAGATGGCCGTTTGCGGACGTGTAGCTCAACCAAAAGCCTGCGACCGGTCGGCCAACCAAACATCAAGATGGCCGCGTGCACGTGCGGCTCAGGCGGAGCGGAGCGGAGCGAGCGATCGATCGACCCCCAGTAAGCAGGATGGCTGTGTGAACGTGCACCTCGACCAGAGCAATGCTACCGGTCGGCCAACCAAACATGAAGATGGCCGCGTGCACGTGCGGCTCAGTCAGGATAATCGGCGATCGATGGGCGCCTGAAACAGGCAAGGGAGGGCCGTGCGGGCCGATCGAACCGGCGCAGTCTCCGCGGTCCGGGTGCTCGTCCGGGTAGTGGGCGCACAGGCGGGCAAGCAACAGCCCGTAGTGAGGCGGCCGCTGCAGGGCCTTCGCGAGGAGACCGCCGCCCGACGGGAGGCACAGCGGCGGGGAGGCGTGGGGGGAGGAGGGCGGCAGCGGCGGCAGCTCCCCCTGCAGGGACTCCAGAGAGAGCAGCAGGGGCAGCTGGGCCTGTGGGTGGGTGGCGGGCGTGGGTGAGCGCGAGTGTAAGAGGTGGAGTGATGACGACGACGATGACGATGATGATGCTGTGGATGGTGCTGCTTGCGATGATGACGATGATGACGATGATGCTGTGGATGGTGCTGCTTACGATGATGACGATGATGACGATGATGCTGTGGATGGTGCTGCTTGCGATGACGATGATGACAATGATGACGATGGTGCTGCTTGCGATGATGACGATGCTGACGATGCTGTGGATGATGCTGCTGACGATGATGACGATGCTGTGGATGCTGTGGATGATGCTGCTTACGATGACGATGATGATGACGATGCTGTGGATGATGCTGCTTACGATGATGATGACGATGATGACGATGATGACGATGCTGTGGATGGTGCTGCTTACGATGACGACGATGACGATGCTGTGGATGGTGCTGCTTGCGATGACGATGCTGACGATGCTGTGGATGATGCTGCTTACGATGACGATGATGACGATGATGACGATGCTGTGGATGCTGCTAATGACGATGACGATGATGACGATGCTGTGGATGCTGCTGCTTACGATGACAATGATGACGATGCTGTGGATGGTGCTGCTTACAATGACGATGATGACGATGCTGTGGTTGATGACGATGATGACGATGCTGCTTACGATGACGATGATGACGATGCTGTGGATGATGACGATGCTGCTGTATGATGATGCGGACGACGACGCTGCTGATCATGACGACGACGCTGCTGATCATGACGATGCCGCTGACGATGTTGATGATGCGATGCGTGCTGATGATGCTGCTGATGACGATGTTGATGATGCGATGCGTGCTGATGATGCTGCTGATGATGATGTTGATGATGCATTGCATGCTCACTGTTACATTGCATTTATGGCTTTTATTTTGGTGATTTCGAAAACGTTTTTTTTTGTTTTGGCCATGTTTTTGGTTATTGTAGTACGGAGTTAGACTGATGGCCTTAATCTAAGTTGTCCTGTGGTTGTTGTTGTTGTTGTTTGACTTGCATCCCACTGGGATTTTTGCACACAGCGTTGGTGTACGGTGCTATTTCAGGAATATTTTGATGTTTTTTTCCTGGATTTTCTGTTTGCACAGTCACATAATAATCACTTTAAGATGTTTTTTCTTGTTCATGTTTTTGTTTGTTGTGGTTGCACCCGATTCAAGAGCCGAATGGCTCACAGGGCTGTACCAAATAAATGCAACTATGGAACTATGGGTGCTGATGATGCTGCTGATGATGCGTTTTCACCTTCAGGGTTTGAATGAAGTGGACGAGGATGTCTCCAATTCTTTGGAAGTCTCCTTTGAGGTGGGCATTGGACCTCCCTTCCCTGGGGAAAAGACAAAAGTCCCCCGTGTAGCCTCTAACAGACTGCTGGGGCAAGTGCTGTTAGTAGCGAGTAGTAGCAGCACCTGTGAAGGTAGACACAGACAAAGATCCCCCGTGTAGCCTCTAACAGACTGTAGGGGCAAGTGCTGTTAGTAGCGAGTAGCAGCAGCACCTGTGAAGGTAGACACAGACAAAGATCCCCCGTGTAGCCTCTAACAGACTGCAGGGGCAAGTGCTGTTAGTAGCGAGTAGCAGCAGCACCTGTGAAGGTAGACACAGACAAAGATTCCCCATAGGGGGAAGGGGAGAGGAGGAGGAGGTGGGAGAGGAGGGAGAGGTGGACGGGGACAGAGACACACAAGGATGACGGAGTGGACTGGCGATGCCAGGGTGCTCCCCGTCCCTACCAGAGCGCCATCCGCTGCTCCACGCGGCGCAGGAAGGCCTCGTGGAGCAGCTGCAGAGTAGCGATGGCGGACAGCAGCGGCGGTGGCGGCTGGGCAGCAGCAGCAGCACTCGCTCCACTGTCCGTCACTCCACCTCCACCTCCTCCACCCAGACACTGCACAGAAAACACAAACCTCCTTCCTCACAGTCACCGCTCACCTCTCTCCTCTCGTGTCTCCCCCTCCTTCCTGGCTGGCTACCTGGCTGGCTGCCTGGCTGGCTGCGTGGCATAGCCACTGAGAACCTGGGTTTTAGGTTAAAGCCCTGGGTCTGGGTCTCTCTCTCTCTCTGGGAGTTCACGATGGCCGTGTCATAGCCACTGAGAACCTGGGTTCTAGGTTCAAGCCCTGAATCTGGGTCACTCTCTGGTGGTTCACGATGGCCATGGCAGAGACACTGAGATGCTGAGGTCAAGGTTCAAGCCCTGGGTCTGGGTGTCTCTCTCTGGGGGTTCACATTGGCCATGTCATATCCACTGAGAGCCTGGGTTCTAGGTTCAAGCCCTGGGTCTGGGTGTCTCTCTCTCTGGGGGTTCACGATGGCCGTGCCATAGCCACTGAGAACCTGGGTTCTAGGTTCAAGTCCTGGGTCTGGGTGTCTCTCCCTCTCTGGGGGTTCACGATGGCCGTGTAATAGCCACCGAGAACCTGGGTTCTAGGTTCAAGCCCTGGGTCTGGGTGTCTCTCTGGGAGTTCACGATGGCCATGTCATAGCCACTGAGAGCCTGGGTTCTAGGTTCAAGCCCTGGGTCTGGGTGTCTCTCTCTCTGGAGGTTCACGATGGCCGTGTCATAGCCACTGAGATGCTGGGTTCTAGGTTCAAGCCCTGGGTCTGGGTGTCTCTCTCTCTCTCTCTGGGGGTTCACGATGGCCGTGTCATATCCACTGAGAACCTGGGTTCTAGGTTCAAGCCCTGGGTCTGAGTGTCTCTCTCTCTCTGGGGGTTCACGATGGCCGTGTCATGGCCACTGAGAACCTGGGTTCTAGGTTCAAGTCCTGGGTCTGGGTGTCTCTCTCTCTCTGGGGGTTCACGATGGCCGTGTCATAGCCACTGAGAACCTGGGTTCTAGGTCAAAGCCCTGGGTCTGGGTCACTCCCTGGGGGTTCACGATGGCCGTGTCATAGCCACTGAGAACCTGGGTTCTAGATTCAAGCCCTGGGTCTGGGTGTCTCTCCCTCTCTCTCTCTGGGAGTTCACGATGGCCGTGTCATAGCCACTGAGAACCTGGGTTCTAGGTTCAAGCCCTGGGTCTGGGTGTCTCTCTGGGGGTTCACGATGACCGTGTCATGGCCACTGAGAACCTGGGTTCTAGGTTCAAGCCCTGGGTCTGGGTGTCTCTCTGGGAGTTCACGATGGCCGTATCATAGCCACTGAGAACCTGGGTTCTAGGTTCAAGCCCTGGGTCTGGGTATCTCTCTCTCTGGGGGTTCACGATGGCCGTGTCATAGCCACTGAGAGCCTGGGTTCTAGGTTCAAGCCCTGGGTCTGGGTGTCTCTCTGGGGGTTTACGATGGCCGTGTCAGAGACACTGAGATGCTGGGGTCAAGGTTCAAGCCCTGGGTCTGGGTCTCTCTCTCTGGAGGTTCACGATGGCCGTGTCATAGCCACTGAGAACCTGGGTTCTAGGTTCAAGCCCTGGGTCTGGGTGTCTCTCTCTCTGGGGGTTCACGATGGCCGTGTCATAGCCACTGAGAGCCTGGGTTCTAGGTTCAAGCCCTGGGTCTGGGTGTCTCTCTCTCTCTGGGGGTTCACGATGGCCGTGTCATGGCCACTGAGAACCTGGGTTCTAGGTTCAAGTCCTGGGTCTGGGTGTCTCTCTCTCTCTGGGGGTTCACGATGGCCGTGTCATAGCCACTGAGAACCTGGGTTCTAGGTCAAAGCCCTGGGTCTGGGTCACTCCCTGGGGGTTCACGATGGCCGTGTCATAGCCACTGAGAACCTGGGTTCTAGATTCAAGCCCTGGGTCTGGGTGTCTCTCCCTCTCTCTCTCTGGGAGTTCACGATGGCCGTGTCATAGCCACTGAGAACCTGGGTTCTAGGTTCAAGCCCTGGGTCTGGGTGTCTCTCTGGGGGTTCACGATGACCGTGTCATGGCCACTGAGAACCTGGGTTCTAGGTTCAAGCCCTGGGTCTGGGTGTCTCTCTGGAGTTCACGATGGCCGTATCATAGCCACTGAGAACCTGGGTTCTAGGTTCAAGCCCTGGGTCTGGGTATCTCTCTCTCTGGGGGTTCACGATGGCCGTGTCATAGCCACTGAGAGCCTGGGTTCTAGGTTCAAGCCCTGGGTCTGGGTGTCTCTCTGGGGGTTTACGATGGCCGTGTCAGAGACACTGAGATGCTGGGGTCAAGGTTCAAGCCCTGGGTCTGGGTCTCTCTCTCTGGAGGTTCACGATGGCCGTGTCATAGCCACTGAGAACCTGGGTTCTAGGTTCAAGCCCTGGGTCTGGGTGTCTCTCTCTCTGGGGGTTCACGATGGCCGTGTCATAGCCACTGAGAGCCTGGGTTCTAGGTTCAAGCCCTGGGTCTGGGTGTCTCTCTCTCTCTGGGGGTTCACGATGGCCGTATCATGGCCACTGAGAACCTGGGTTCTAGGTTCAAGCCCTGGGTCTGGGTGTCTCTCTCTCTGGGGGTTCACGATGGCCGTGTCATAGCCACTGAGAACCTGGGGTCAAGGTTCAAGCCCTGGGTCTGGGTCACTCTCTGGGGGTTCACGATGGCCGTGTCAGAGACACTGAGAACCTGGGGTCAAGGTTCAAGCCCTGGGTCTGGGTCTCTCTCTCTCTCTCTGGGGGTTCACGATGGCCGTGTCATAGCCACTGAGAACCTGGGTTCTAGGTTCAAGCCCTGGGTCTGGGTGTCTCTCTCTCTCTGGGGGTTCACGGTGGCCGTGTCATAGCCACTGAGAACCTGGGTTCTAGGTTCAAGCCCTGGGTCTGGGTGTCTCTCTCTCTGGGGGTTCACGATGGCCGTGTCATAGCCACTGAGAACCTGGGTTCTAGGTTCAAGCCCTGGGTCTGGGTGTCTCTCTGGGGGTTCACGATGGCCGTATCATAGCCACTGAGAACCTGGGTTCTAGGTTCAAGCCCTGGGTCTGGGTGTCTCTCTGGGGGTTCACGATGGCCGTGTCAGAGACACTGAGATGCTGGGGTCAAGGTTCAAGCCCTGGGTCTGGGTCTCTATCTCTGGGAGTTCACGATGGCCGTGTCGGAGTGACCCAGACACAGGGGGGAGGGGGTTGACCTCTGACCGTGACAATGGCTGCCAGGTCCCGCTGGTAGGTCCGCTCCGTGGCCAGAAGCTCCTTGGTGATGAAGTAGGCCCGGTCTGCCGGCACACGCTGCGCAAGACAACAAAGGCAAATGTCCCCCGTGTAGCCTCAACAGACTGCAGGGACAAGTGCTGTTAGTAGCGAGTAGCAGCACCTATGAAGGTAGACACAGACAAAGATCCCCCGTGTAGCCTCAACAGACTGCAGGGGCAAGTGCTGTTAGTAGCGAGTAGCAGCAGCACCTATGAAGGTAGACACAGACAAATGTGCCCCGTGTAGCCTCAACAGACTGTAGGGACAAGTGCTGTCAGTGGCGAGTAGCAGCAGCACCTGTGAAGGTAGACAAAGATACCCCGTGTAGCCTCTAACAGACTGCTGGGGCAAGTGCTGTTAGTAGCGAGTAGCAGCAGCACCTGTGAAGGTAGACACAGACAAAGGTCCCCCGTGTAGCCTCTAACAGACTGCAGGGGCAAGTGCTGTTAGTAGCGAGTGGCAGCAGCACCTGTGAAGGTAGACACAGACAAAGATCCCCCGTGTAGCCTCTAACAGACTGTAGGGGCAAGTGCTGTTAGTAGCGAGTAGCAGCAGCACCTGTGAAGGTAGACACAGACAAAGATCCCCCGTGTAGCCTCTAACAGACTGTAGGGGAAAGTGCTGTTAGTAGCGAGTAGCAGCAGCACCTGCGAAGGTAGACACAGACAAAGATCCCCCGTGTAGCCTCTAACAGGCTGTAGGGGCAAGTGCTGTTAGTAGCGAGTAGCAGCAGCACCTGTGAAGGTAGACACAGACAAAGATCCCCCGTGTAGCCTCTAACAGACTGCAGGGGCAAGTGCTGTCAGTAGCGAGTAGCAGCAGCACCTGCGAAGGTAGACACAGACAAAGATCCCCCGTGTAGCCTCTAACAGGCTGTAGGGGCAAGTGCTGTTAGTAGCGAGTAGCAGCAGCACCTGTGAAGGTAGACACAGACAAAGATCCCCCGTGTAGCCTCTAACAGACTGCAGGGGCAAGTGCTGTTAGTAGCGAGTAGCAGCAGCACCTGTGAAGGTAGACACAGACAAAGATCCCCCGTGTAGCCTCTAACAGACTGTAGGGGCAAGTGCTGTTAGTAGCGAGTAGCAGCAGCACCTGTGAAGGTAGACACAGACAAAGATCCCCCGTGTAGCCTCTAACAGACTGCAGGGGCAAGTGCTGTTAGTAGCGAGTAGCAGCAGCACCTGTGAAGGTAGACACAAAGATCCCCCGCCTTTGTCTCCCCAGTGGCGATGTTTACTGCACACCGCACCAGGTACTCATTTGAGGCCGAGTGGACCTAGGGGAGGAGGGCCAGGACCGGTTCAGAGAATCGTCACTGCCGGTGTTGGCCGTGGCCGTGAGGGGGAGTTGGGCCCGGGGTCTGTGCCGGGTTCGTAGCGCAGCGCCTTCAACTGCTCACACCGCCATATAAGTCGCGGTGACGTCGCCACGGCGCTTGTGCCAGGCTAGGTGCACCTTGAGGCCCGTCACGTGAAGTGTGGAAAGCTCGCTGATGGCGGGTCACGTGACAGAGCCAGCAGGTGCCATGGGTCGACTACGTTGACTGGCTGATGCACCACCTGTGCTCCCTACTGTGCCAGGCTAGGTGCAGGAGGTCACGTGACAGACCCAGCAGGTGCCATGGGTCCACTACGATCACTGGCTGATGCACCACCTGTGCTCCCTACTGTGCCAGGCTAGGTGCAGGAGGTCACGTGACAGAGCCAGCAGGTGCCATGGGTCAACTACGTTGACTGGCTGATGCATCACCTGTGCTCCCTACTGTGCCAGGCTAGGTGCAGGAGGTCACGTGACAGAGCCAGCAGGTGCCATGGGTCGACTACGTTGACTGGCTGATGCACCACCTGTGCTCCCTACTGTGCCAGGCTAGGTGCAGGAGGTCACGTGACAGACCCAGCAGGTGCCATGGGTCGACTACGATGACTGGCTGATGCACCACCTGTGCTCCCTACTGTGCCAGGCTAGGTGCAGGAGGTCACGTGACAGACCCAGCAGGTGCCATGGGTCGACTACGTTGACTGGCTGATGCACCACCTGTGCTCCCTACTGTGCCAGGCTAGGTGCAGGAGGTCACGTGACAGAGGCAGCAGGTGCCATGGGTCGACTACGTTGACTGGCTGATGCACCACCTGTGCTCCCTACTGTGCCAGGCTAGGTGCAGGAGGTCACGTGACAGAGCCAGCAGGTGCCATGGGTCGACTACGTTGACTGGCTGATGCACCACCTGTGCTCCCTACTGTGCCAGGCTAGGTGCAGGAGGTCACGTGACAGACCCAGCAGGTGCCATGGGTCGGCTGACTGACTTGTGGATGCACCACCTCCTGTGCCCCCCCCGCCCCACACTGCGCCAACTCGCTGCGTTTTATCTGCCGCTCGTTGTTGTGAGCGTCGCTCCTCCGCCCTCCGTTGTTGCTGGAGGGCGACTGCCTCCGACTGCCCAGCAGCAGCAGCAGCGGCGTCCTTCACGAGCCTCCTCCTCCGCAGAGGCCGACCCTGACACCGCTGGTACCGCTCATCGGCAAGTCCACTCAGCGATGCTGACCATCACCGTCCACGCACCCTCCTCCTCCGATGATGATGATGATGATGATTTGAGCGATGATGATGATGATGATATAGGAATAGGCTTTACCCTTTTAACTGGCACAAAAACTGACACCTTTATTCAAGGCATCGTGTTTGCAATAACCACAACACAAGCAGTCAAAATGCAAACAAAAAAAGACAACTCTGATAATAATATTGGCACTTGTCCTTGAATTTGATTGGTCCACACCCGAGACAGCTTTTCTTAGAGCCTAGTGCCAATATTATTATCAGAGTTGTCTTTTTTGTTTGCATTTTGACTGCTTGTGTTGTGGTCATTGCAAACATGATGCCTTGAATAAAGGTGTCAGTTTTTTGTGCCAGTTAAAAGGGTAAAACCTATTCCTATATCTTGTTTCTGGCAAAGGAGGTTCTCATAATGATGATGATGATGATGTTGTTAGTGACGACGCTGACGTTCGTGATGGCAGTGAGGCTCCACCATCATCGCCCACCCACCTTGCGATGGCCCCCGCTACCGACGCCTCCGGCGTCCTCGTCCGTGCGGGAGCTGCAGCCGCTCACGTCGCTGAGGCACGGCGAGAGCGACGGGGGCGACGGCGACGCGGAGACGTCGTCCGGGCGCCAGGGGGACGCGGCGGAGACACGTGGCGGAGACACGGCCACCGGCCAGCGTCCCGCTGAGAGACACGGAGAGAGGGAGAGAGGCAGGGAGAGAGACAGGGAGACAGGGAGAGAGAGACACGGCCACCGGCCAGCGTCCCGCTGAGAGACAGGGAGAGGGAGAGAGGGAGAGGCAGGGAGAGAGACAGGGAGACAGGGAGAGAGAGACACGGAGAGAGACACGGAGAGAAAGAGAGGGAGAGGCAGGGAGAGAAGACAGGGAGAGAGACACGGAGAGAGACAGGGAGAGAGAGAGAAGGAGAGGCAGGGAGAGAGACAGGGAGACAGGGAGAGAGAGACACGGAGAGAGACACGGAGAGAAAGAGAGGGAGAGGCAGGGAGAGAAGACAGGGAGAGAGACACGGAGAGAGACAGGGAGAGAGAAGGAGAGGCAGGGAGAGAGACAGGGAGACAGGGAGAGAGACACGGAGAGAGACAGGGAGAGAGAGAGAGGGAGAGAGACAGGGAGAGAGAGAGGGAGGGAGAGAGGCCACGAGACGGGGAGAGAAACAGGGAGAGGCGAGGAGAGAGACAGGGAGACAGGAGGGAGACACGGAGAGAGACAGGGAGACAGGAGGGAGACACGGAGAGAGACGGGGAGACAGGAGAGAGACAAGGAGACAGGGAGACAGGAGAGAGACACGGAGAGAGACAGGGAGACAGGAGAGAGACACGGAGAGAGACAGGGAGACAGGAGAGAGACGCGGAGAGAGACAGGGAGACAGGAGAGAGACAGGGAGACAGGAGAGAGAGACGGAGAGAGACAGGGAGACAGGAGAGAGACGCGGAGAGAGACAGGGAGACAGGAGAGAGACAGGGAGACAGGAGAGTGACACGGAGAGAGACGGGGAGACAGGAGGGAGACACGGAGAGAGACGGGGAGACAGGAGAGAGAGACGGAGAGAGACAGGGAGACAGGCGAGAGAGACGGAGAGAGACAGGAAGACAGGAGGGAAACACGGAGAGAGACAGGGAGACAGGAGAGAGACAGGGAGACAGGAGAGAGAGACGGAGAGAGACAGGGAGACAGGAGAGAGAGACGGAGAGAGACAGGGAGACGGGAGGGAGACACGGAGAGAGACGGGGAGACAGGAGAGAGACACGGAGAGAGACAGGGAGACGGGAGAGAGACACGGAGAGAAACAGGGAGACAGGAGAGAGACACGGAGAGAGACAGGGAGACAGGAGAGAGACGGGAGGGAGACAGGAGAGAGACACGGAGAGAGACAGGGAGACAGGAGGGAGGCAAGGAGAGAGACAGGGAGACAGGAGGGAGGCAAGGAGAGAGACAGGGAGACAGGAGAGTGACACGGAGAGAGACAGGAGGGAGACGGGAGGGGGACGGGAGGAGGACGGGGACAGGAGCGAGGGACGCGTCTCTCCGTGTGTGGGGATGGCGTGGGACGGTCGGGAGGGTTGAGTTGGGAACCAGGGACCAGATCAACGTCTCAAACCCACACCCTTCACGTCAACACCACCACCACCACCACCGCCATCATCGTCACCACCACCACCATCATCATCGCCACCATCAACCTCTCACGCCACGTGGACGTCGCGTGAGCGAGAGCGGTGTGGGCCCTGGAGGAGTCTGCCCTTGTCTCTGTCTGGAGGAGGCGGTAGCGGTGTGAGTCACAGGGAGGTGATGAGGACGATGATGCAGTTGGGTGGACACAGATACCCATCTACTCACCCACCCACCTAGCCACCCACTCATTCAGCCACCCAACCACCCTCCCATCCACCCATCCACCCAACCACCCAGCCACTCATCCAACCACGCACCCACCCATTCAGCCACCCAACCACCCACCCACCCAGCCACCCACCCACCCATTCAGCAACCCAGCCACCCACCCACCCATTAAGCCACCCACCCATTCAGCCACCCAAACACCCACCCACTCAGCCACCCACCCACCCACCCAGCCACCCAACCACCCACCCAGCCACCCAGCCACCCACCCAACCATCTGAGACCACGTGTGACACCCCGGTGTAGAGGCGACGGCGTGTTTATTGTCAACAGCGACTTTGGCACCGTCCGTTCTAACAAGCAAATAAAATGGAACCATACAAAAACCACACGCGGATAAGGCCACCTCCTTGCCCCCTGTGGGACGCCCACCACCGTCTACGGGGGGGGGGGGGTGGGGGGTGGGGTGGGGGCCAAGCGCTGACGTCAGCGAGGCGACGTCGCCACGTGGCAGGGGGCCACGGGGGAGGCAGAGCGGCCGAGCCGACCTCCGACCCCAAGCGGGCCGCCGCCCGGAGCCTTGAGAGCCCAGGTCGGCAGGCCGCCGCCGTCCGCCTCGTCGTCCACCTCGTCGTCCACCTCGTCGTCCACCTCGTCGTCCACCTCGTCGTCCACCTCGTCGTCCGCCTCGTCGTCCGCCTCGTCGTCCACCTCGTCGTCCACCTCGTCGTCCATCCTCGTCGTCCACCTCGTCGTAAGACCGGGCGCTTGACGAGCAGCGGTCCGAGTTGGTGAGCAGGAGGCCGAGGCCGCGGGAGGCGCCGAGGGCCGGGAACGCCGCCGGGAACGCCGCCGGGAAGGATCGCTCCGACGACGCAGGGAAGTTGAGGAGCGAGCAGGGGGGCGAGTCCGCGGGGAGCGGGGGAGGAAGAGGTGGGTGGGGGGCAGCGGTCCCCCACCCCCCGCTCCTCATCATCATCAACATCGTCGTCATGGTGACGCCGTCGTCGTCGTCAACGGCCTCCTCCTCCTCGTCCTCCTCCTCGTCCTCGTCGTCGTCCTCGTCGTCGAAGGAGCTGGGCCACGATCGATCGAACGCGGCCAGCAGCCCGTCGTCTCGCAACGAGGTGATGTCGGAAACGATGGTGCCGTCGCCCTCGTCGCCCTCGCCGCCCTCGCCGCCCTCGCCGCCCTCGTCGCCCTCGCCGCCCTCGCCGCCCTCGTCGCCCCCGTCGCCCTCGTCGCCCTCGTCGCCCCCGTCGCCCTCGCCGCCCTCGTCGCCCTCGTCGCCCTCGTCGCCCTCGCCGCCCTCGCCGCCCTCGCCGCCCTCGCCGCCCGGTAAGTGGTAGCGGTGGGAGGAGCAGCGATGGGCACCGCGACCGTCAACGTCACCGCCGGCGTCCAGGTCGTCGTCAACATCGCGCTCGGGGTTCGGCAAGCGGGGCCGGCGGGAGACGGAGCGGTCGACGGCGCCGCAATCACCGCCACAATCACCGCCACAATCACCGCCGCAATCACCGCCACAATCACCGCCACAATCACCGCCACAATCACCGCCACAATCACCGCCACAATCACCGCCACAATCACCGCCACAATCACCGCCACAATCACCGCCGCAACCACCGCCACGGCCGCCACCCCCGCAGCTAGCCAAGCGGTACCGTGCACAGATGGAGGCGCGGAAAACACCACCACCATCACCACCACCATCACCGCCACCATCACCGCCACCATCACCACCACCACCATCACCACCATCACCACCACCATCACCGCCACCATCACCGCCACCATCACCGCCACCATCACTGCCACCATCACCACCACCATCACCGCCACCATCACCACCACCATCACCGCCACCATCACTGCCATCACCACCACCATCACCGCCACCATCACTGCCACCATCACCACCACCATCACCACCACCATCACCGCCATCACCGCCACCATCACCGCCACCATCACCGCCACCATCACTGCCACCATCACCACCACCATCACTGCCACCATCACCACCACCATCACCGCCACCATCACCACCACCATCACCACCACCACCATCACTACCATCACCACCACCATCACCGCCACCATCACCGCCACCATCACCGCCACCATCACTGCCACCATCACCACCACCATCACCATCACCGCCACCATCACCGCCACCATCACCGCCACCATCACCACCACCATCACCACCACCATCACCGCCATCACCGCCACCATCACCGCCACCATCACCGCCACCATCACCGCCACCGCCACCTTCGCTCGGCGAGACGACATCGTCGTGCGAGGAGGAGGAGGAGGAGGAGGAGGAGGAGTTGGTCACGTGGGCCGCTGGCTCACCTCTCCCGGCCGGTGACGGAACCCCGGCGGACGACGACGATGACGAGGAGGAGGAGGAGGAGGTGGTGGAGACCGACGATGGCGACGCGCGGAGGGCGCCGCTGCCCCTCCTCCTCGCGCCATCGTCCACCTCGTCAGCGTCGCCCGGCGTCAGCCGCCCCGCGGTGCCGTGCCGGTGCGGGCAATGTTCGCGCTGTTGTTGTGGTTGTTGTCGTGGTTGTTGTTGTTGTTGTGGTTGTCGTTGTGGTTGTTGTGGTTGCTGCTGCTGTTGCTGCTGCTGCTGCAGGTGGTGGTGGTGGTGGTGGGGCAGCTGGCGAGGATGTTGACGGTGAGGGGGGCTGTGCGGCGAGGAGGCGAGAGCCGGCGACGACGGCGACTCGGGCCGGGAGCCGGCGTCGCCGGCGCCGGCGTCGCCGGAGCCGGCGTCGCCGGCGGCGACGTCGCACGAGTGGAGATGCGGCGAGGAGAGGAGAAGCGCCCCGTACGAGAAGCTTGAACTCTGCACCCGAATCATTCGACGGTTCAATCAACGATTCATCTGGCGGGAGATTCATTCCCCCTGGGCGATTCGTTCAGCGAGTGGCTCACCGAGCGGCTCATTCGACCGAGTGATTCATTCGCCGATTCATTGATCGAGCGGTTCCTTCGCCGAGTTATTCATTCGGTGATTGTCATTCGTTCAGCGCTTCGTTCGCAGCGCGCAGTAAACGTCGCTCACTGGGGGAGACAAAGGCGGCCGGGCGTGGTGGTGCTGACCAACACAGCAGCAGCTGCTGCTGCTGCTGCTGCTCGCTACTTACCAACAGCACCTGCCCCCCACCCCCAACAGCCGGTTTGAAGGCTATACGGGGGGACCTTTTGTCTTTGCGTGTGAGAGCGTGCACCTAGCCCGGCACAAGCGCCGTGGCGAATGACGGATGTTAGGGTTGCGCGCGCGCGCGTGTGTGTGTGGATGGTGATGGTGGTGTTGCGGTGGTGGTGTGGTGATGGTGGTGGTGTGGTGATGGTGGTGGTGATGGTGGTGTGTGGTGGTGGTGGTGTGTGGCGGTGGTGGTGTGTGGTGTGTGGTGATGGTGGTGTGTGGTGGTGGTGGTGTGTGGCGGTGGCGATGGTGGTGTGTGGCGATGGGGTGTGTGGTGGTGGTGGTGTGTGGGGGTGGTGGTGTGTGGTGGTGGTGGTGTGTGGTGGTGATGGTGGTTTGTGGTGATGGTGGTGTGGTGGTGATGGTGGTGTGTGGCGGTGGTGGTGTGTGGTGGTGGTGATGGTGGTGATGGTGGTGTGTGGCGGTGGTGGTGTGTGGTGGTGGTGTGTGGTGGTGGTGGTGATGGTGGTGTGTGGTGATGGTGGTGTGGTGGTGATGGTGGTGTGTGGCAGTGGTGGTGTGTGGTGATGGTGTGTGGCGGTGGTGGTGTGTGGCGGTGGTGGTGTGTGGCGGTGGTGGTGTGTGGCGATGGTGGTGTGTGGCGGTGGTGGTGTGTGGCAGTGGTGGTGTGTGGCGGTGGTGGTGTGTGGCGGTGGTGGTGTGTGGCGGTGGTGGTGTGTGGCGGTGGTGGTGTGTGGCGATGGTGGTGTGTGGCGGTGGTGGTGTGTGGCAGTGGTGGTGTGTGGCGGTGGTGGTGTGTGGTGGTGGCGGTGGTGGTGTGTGGGGATGGTGGTGTGTGGTGGTGGTGTGTGGCGATGGTGGTGGTGGTGTGTGGGGATGGTGGTGTGTGGTGGTGTGTGGTGGTGTGTGGTGGTGGTGTGTGGTGGTGGCTGTGTGTGGTGGTGGCGGTGGTGGTGTTGCGGTGGTGGTGTGGTGATGGTGGTGGTGTGGTGATGGTGGTGGTGTGTGGCGGTGGTGGTGGTGTATGGCGATGGGGTGTGTGGCGGTGGTGGTGTGTGGCGGTGGTGGTGTGTGGTGGTGGTGTGTGGTGGTGGTGGTGTGTGGCGGTGGTGGTGTGTGGCGGTGGTGGTGTGTGGCAGTGGTGTGTGGCGGTGGTGGTGGTGTGTGGCGGTGGTGGTGTGTGGCGGTGGTGGTGTGTGGTGGTGGTGGTGTGTGGCGGTGGTGGTGTGTGGCGGTGGTGATGTGTGGTGGTGATGGTGGTGTGTGGCGGTGGTGTGTGGCGGTGGTGGTGTGTGGTGGTGATGGTGGTGTGTGGCGGTGGTGGTGTGTGGTGGTGATGGTGGTGTGTGGTGGTGTGTGGCGGTGGTGTGTGGCGGTGGTGGTGTGTGGGGATGACGGTGGTTGTGGTGTGTGGTGATGGTGGTGTGTGGTGTGTGGTGATGGTGGTGTGTGGCGGTGTGTGGTGATGGTGGTGTGTAGTGATGGTGGTGGTGTGTGGTGATGGTGGTGTGTGGTGTGTGGTGATGGTGGTGTGTGGCGGTGTGTGGTGATGGTGGTGTGTAGTGATGGTGGTGGTGTGTGGTGATGGTGGTGTGTGGTGTGTGGTGATGGTGGTGTGTGGCGGTGTGTGGTGATGGTGGTGTGTAGTGATGGTGGTGGTGGTGGTGTGTGGTGATGGTGATGGCGATGGTGGTGGTGTGTGGTGGTGGTGGTGTGTGGTGATGGTGGTGATGGTGGTGGTGATGGTGATGGTGTGTGGTGGTGATGGTGATGGTGGTGTGTGCTCGTCACCTGCGCGGTCAACGGCAGGCGCAGCTGCGTCGCCTGGGCTGAGACGCTGCGTCGAGGAGGGAGGTGACGTTTTCTAGAGGGGGTGAAGAGAAGGGGGGGTCAGGGGGGGGGAGTCAGGGGGGGGGGTCAGGGGGAGGAGTCAGGGGGGGGGGGGTCGGCACGCACGCGGACACTCGCCGGGCCCTCAACGATCCACGATCCGATCGAGGGTCCGATTTAAAAGCTGCCGGCAACGGCGGTGCGGACCCATCAGCTGCACGTCGCCTTTGCCGGGCCGTGTGCCGGCTTGGTTCGCACGCTCACCGCAAGCGCCGTGCGCGAGGCTAATGCAGCGACACGATTCCTTAGCAAAGAGGGGGGCAGGTGTTTCCGCTTGGTGTTTAAACATCTTTTATCGCCAGATACGGGGGAAAAAAAAACATTCTCACATTCTGACACTGGCAAGGGAGTTCCTCCCACGACGGAGGTCGCCCACGACGGAGGTCGCCCACGACGGAGGGCCCCACGACGGAGGTCGCCCACGACGGAGGGCCCCACGACGGAGGTCGCCCACGACGGAGGGCCCCTCCCTCCCACGACGACCCTGCACCGTTTTTTTTACATGGGACGGCCGATTCGCTCGCACGCTAGCGTGCGGGCCACCCAGGCGAGGTCACTCGCCTTCGCCAAGAGGCTCAGCTGTTTCGCCTGCAGGCCTACGCTCTCCACGGCTCACCCTGTCGATATTTCCCAACTCCGTGCATGGCTCGCCGAGACCCCTGGACTTTTCAATGCGACCTTGCAAAATGGCGATCCGCTACCATTACGACGTCCTCCCAAGGAGAATAACCGCGCCATTCGCCACCAAGCTGACGGTGACGCCGCCGCCGCGCCTGTGCCAGGCTAGGTGCTCTTTGAGGCCGCGTGAAGGGTCGAAGGATCCTGCGCTGGCAGGGGGTCACGGGGACAGACCCAGCAGGCGCCATGTGGGTCGGCTGACTTGAGATGACCGGTGGATGCACCACCAGCTGTACCCCCCCCACTGTGCCAACTTGCTAGATTTGAGCCGCCCGGCGCTCCGCTCGTTGTCGTGAGCGTCGCTCCTCTGCCTCCAACTGGCCAGCAGCAGCAGCAGCAGCGGCGTCCCTCACGAGCCTCTTCCACCAGTGGACGATCTTGACATCGCTGGTACCGGTCTCTGGCAAGTCCACTCAACTCCACATCCTCCTGTACCACATCAGCTCCACCTCTTCTCCAGCCCGTGCCGTGCCCGTTTAGCCCCCTCTATGCGGCCAAACAGAAGCCGCTTGGGCGTGCGGGGGGTCTACGTGACCCAGCCAGTCCAGCCTCGCCTGCCGGAGGAGCTCACCGATGGGACCGTGTCCAGATCTCTCAAGGATTTGTGAGCTCCTCGCAACAATCCACCTTCAGTTATGGTCGAAACGTCGTGAGAATTTTTTATTGTTTTATATATATTTTATTATTTTGTTGTTTCTCTTCAACGTGACTTTACCGAAAAAACTAAGAATAAGAATACCAGGATGGATCGTTAGGCCTGCCGGCCTGAATGCTTCTAACCGGCGCCGATGTTCCATTCGAGGGGGTCCACGTTTCACGAGCATGGAGGAAGGGAGGGCATGACACACACACACACGCACGCACTCACTCGGGCGCACAATCGCACACTGCCTACCTGGTGAAGGCAGTCTGCTTGAGCCCATTCTGCTTGACATGTTCTATCAACTGCTGCTGTGTCCGCCCGCTGAGTTGCAGAGGGAAGGGAACAGTGTTGGGGGGGGGAGGGGTGGGTGAGGACACGAAAGTCAGAGCCGGACTGGCGACCAACGCCTTTGTGCGATGCTTTGTATCAACAACGCAACTACAACAACAACTCTAGATTTAAAGCTTTCGTGACTGCAAGAAATCCATACTCTTTGGTTTTATTGGGTAAAGTCACGTAGTAGGTAAAAAATAAAATGACAAAAATCGCGACGTTTCGGCCACAACACAAGCGGCCTTCATCAGGTGAAGGGACCATACTGTCTGGAGGACAGCGCTGGAGTGAAAGAAGCCACGCTCAGATCACGACCTTTAAGCTGTGTGAGAAGAAACGAAGCGCCTTGACAAAGGAATTAGCATAGAATTTAGCATTGAAATGGCTGAGTGATTAGCTTGTGACTGGTCACAGAAATGGCTATGTTAAAGTTAAAGCATACACATCTGCAAAGGCACCCCTTGACAAAGGAATTAGCATAGAATTTAGCATTGAAATAGCTAAGTTAAAGTATACACATCCGCAGAGGCACCCCTTGACAAAGGAATTAGCATAGAATTTAGCATTGAAATAGCTAAGTTAAAGTATACACATCCGCAGAGGCACCCCTTGACAAAGGAATTAGCATAGAATTTAGCATTGAAATAGCTAAGTTAAAGCATACACATCCGCAGAGGCACCCCTTGACAAAGGAATTAGCATAGAATTTAGCATTGAAATAGCTAAGTTAAAGTATACACATCCGCAGAGGCACCCTTGACAAAGGAATTAGCATAGAATTTAGCATTGAAATAGCCAAGTTAAAGTATACACATCCGCAGAGGCACCCCTTGACAAAGGAATTAGCATAGAATTTAGCATTGAAATAGCTAAGTTAAAGCATACACATCCGCAGAGGCACCCCTTGACAAAGGAATTAGCATAGAATTTAGCATTGAAATAGCTAAGTTAAAGCATACACATCCGCAGAGGCACCCCTTGACAAAGGAATTAGCATAGAATTTAGCATTGAAATAGCTAAGTTAAAGTATACACATCCGCAGAGGCACCCCTTGACAAAGGAATTAGCATAGAATTTAGCATTGAAATAGCCAAGTTAAAGTATACACATCCGCAGAGGCACCCCTTGACAAAGGAATTAGCATAGAATTTAGCATTGAAATAGCTAAGTTTAAGTATACACATCTGCAGAGGCACCCCTTGACAAAGGAATTAGCATAGAATTTAGCATTGAAATAGCTAAGTTAAAGTATACACATCCGCAGAGGCACCCCTTGACAAAGGAATTAGCATAGAATTTAGCATTGAAATAGCTAAGTTAAAGTATACACATTCGCAGAGGCACCCCTTGACAAAGGAATTAGCATAGAATTTAGCATTGAAATAGCCAAGTTAAAGTATACACATCCGCAGAGGCACGCCTTGACAAAGGTATTAGCATAGAATTTAGCATTGAAATAGCTAAGTTAAAGTATACACATCCGCAGAGGCACCCCTTGACAAAGGAATTAGCATAGAATTTAGCATTGAAATAGCTAAGTTAAAGTATACACATCCGCAGAGGCACCCCTTGACAAAGGAATTAGCATAGAATTTAGCATTGAAATAGCTAAGTCAAAGTATACACATCCGCAGAGGCACCCCTTGACAAAGGAATTAGCATAGAATTTAGCATTGAAATAGCTAAGTCAAAGTATACACATCCGCAGAGGCACCCCTTGACAAAGGAATTAGCATAGAATTTAGCATTGAAACAGCCAAGTTAAAGTATACACATCCGCAGAGGCACCCCTTGACAAAGGAATTAGCATAGAATTTAGCATTGAAATAGCTAAGTTAAAGTATACACATCCGCAGAGGCACCCCTTGACAAAGGAATTAGCATAGAATTTAGCATTGAAATAGCCAAGTTAAAGTATACACATCCGCAGAGGCACCCCTTGACAAAGGAATTGGCATAGAATTTAGCATTGAAATAGCTAAGTTAAAGTATACACATCTGCAGAGGCACCCCTTGACAAAGGAATTGGCATAGAATTTAGCATTGAAATAGCTGAGTGATTAGCTTGTAACTGGTCACAGTTACAACAACGATATCGATCGGAGGTGCAAAGCGTAGAAGAATAAAAAAGGCGAGCACGTCGCGGAAAACTACGCAGAATAAACAAGGTGGCACGCCCTGGACCCGCACGGCCAAAACACAGCGGAGCGCGCGGATTGTGTGTGTCCATCGTGACAGACGTGGAAAGGGGGGAAAAAAGTAGTGAATAGCAGTGTAGAGTGTAGTGTATAGTGTAGTGTATAGTAGTGTAGTGTATAGTAGTAGTGTAGTGTGTAGTAGTGTATAGTAGTGTATAGTGTAGTATATAATGTCGTGTATAGTAGTGTAGTGTGTAGTGTATAGTGTAGTGTATAGTGTAGTGTATAGTAGTGTAGTGTATAGTGTAGTGTATAGTGTAGTGTATAGTGTAGTGTATAGTAGTGTATAGTGTAGTGTATAGTATTGTATAGTGTAGTGTATGGCAGTGTAGTGTATAGCAGTGTAGTGTATAGTGTAGTGTACAGCAGTGTATAGTAGTATAGTGTAGTATATAGTGTAGTGTATAGCAGTGTAGAGTGTAGTGTATAGTGTAGTATATAGTGCAGTGTATAGTGCAGTGTATAGTGTAGTGTATAGTGTAGTGTATAGCGTAGTGTATAGTAGTGTAGTGTATAGCGTAGTATATAGTAGTGTAGTGTATAGTGTAGTGTAAAGTAGTGTAGTGTTTAGTGTAAAGTAGTGTAGTGTATAGTGTAGTGTATAGTGTAGTGTATAGTGCAGTGTATAGTGTAGTGTATAGTGTAGTGTATAGTGTAGTGTATAGTAGTGTAGTGTATAGCGTAGTGTATAGTAGTGTAGTGTATAGTAGTGTAGTGTATAGTGGTGTAGTGTATAGTGTAGTGTATAGTGTAGTGTATAGTAGTGTATAGTGTAGTGTATAGTGTAGTGTATAGTGTAGTGTAGTGTATAGTGTAGTGTATAGTAGTGTATAGTGTAGTGTATAGTGTAGTGTATAGTGTAGTGTATAGTGTAGTGTGTAGTGTAGTGTATAGTGGTGTAGTGTATAGTAGTGTAGTGTATAGTGTAGTGTATAGTAGTGTAGTGTATAGTGTAGTGTATAGTGTAGTGTATAGTGTAGTGTATAGTAGTGTATAGTATAGTGTAGTGTATAGTGGTGTAGTGTATAGTGTAGTGTATAGTGTAGTGTATAGTGTAGTGTATAGTGTAGTGTATAGTGTAGTGTATAGTAGTGTAGTGTATAGTAGTGTAGTGTATAGTGTAGGGTATAGTAGTGTAGTGTATAGTAGTGTAGTGTATAGTAGTGTAGTGTATAGTGTAGTGTACAGCCGGGGAAGATGAGGTGGAGCGGGCGGGGGGGGGGGTGCGACGCTACTGGCGGTCTCCCTCTTTCTCTCGCCTGTAGCGGAACGCCGAGCCGCGGACGAAGAGCGCCGCACGATGCCGGCGGGCGCGTGGGGACACGGCGGAGGCGGCGGTGGCGGCTGAGGCGGTGGAGGAGGAGGAGGCGGCGGAGGCGGCGGTGGCGGCTGAGGCGGTGGAGGAGGAGGCGGGAGGCGTCGAGCGGAAGAAGGCGTGCGTCTCCACGCAGCGCTTCCACAGGCGCTTGCAGGCGTCACGGTCGGGCATCGTGAACTCGAGCGTGTCCACGCAGCACCACGGCGGCTCAAACTCCTGCGGATGAGCCCGCGGGGGGAGGGGGGGGTGGGGTGGGTGAGGAGGGGGGGGGGGGTGAGGGAGGGGGGGCGGTGTTGGTTGGTTTGTCTTCCCTCGCTCCCCATGCACCTCCGATTGGCACGGTTGGCTACGTACGGTGCGAAAGAAGTTCACCACTCTCACACTCTCTCTATCACTATCACACTCTTCTCTCTCACACTCTCTCTCACTATCACACTCTCTCTCACTATCACACTCATTCTCTCTAACACACTCTCACTATCACACTCTTTATCTCTCACACTCTCTCTCTATCACACTCACACTCTCTCTCACTATCACACACTCACACACTCTCTCACTATCACACACTCACACTCTCTCTCACTATCACACACTCACACACTCTCTCACTATCACACTCTCTCTCTCACTCTCTCTCACTATCACACTCTCTCTCACTATCGCACTCTCTCTCACTATCGCACTCTCTCAATATCACACTCTCTCTCACTATCACACTCTCTCTCTCACTATCACACTCCCTCACTCTCTCTCACTATCACACTCTCACTATCACACTCTCTCACTATCACACACTTTCTCTCTAACACTCTCTCTCTATCACACTCTCACACTCACACTCTCTCTCACTATCACACTCTCACACTCACACTCTCTCACACTCTCTCTCTCTCTCACACTCTCTCTCACTATCACACTCTCACACTCTCTCTCTCTCTCACACTGTCTCTCTCTCACACTCCCTCATGCTCTCTCTCACTCACGTAAGCCTCTGCGTGCAGCTTCAGGAAGAAGCGGTCTCTCTTGAAGCTCAGCTTGCGGATCTTGGCCCAGGAACACAAATTCAGCTTCGTGCTGCCCTGTGACGCAACAAAGACAAAGGTCCCCCCTGTGGCCTTTCACAGACTGTTGGGGCAAGTGCCGTTCGCGAGCAGCGCCTACGAAGGCCGGCACGATGGGCGGGCGGGCGGGCGGGTGAGCGAGTTGGTGGCTGGGTGGGCGAGCGGGGGAGCGAGTTGGTGGCTGGGTGGGCGAGTGGGGGAGCGAGTTGGTGGCTGGGTGGGGGAGCGGGTGAGCGAGTTGGTGGCTGGGTGGGGGAGCGAGTGAGCGAGTTGGTGGCTGGGTGGGCGAGTGGGGGAGCGAGTGAGCGAGTTGGTGGCTGGGTGGGCGAGTGGGGGAGCGAGTAAGCGAGTTGGTGGCTGGGTGGACGAGTGGGGGAGCGAGTGAGCGAGTTGGTGGCTGGGTGGGCGAGTGGGGGAGCGAGTTGGTGGCTGGGTGGGGGAGCGAGTGAGCGAGTTGGTGGCTGGGTGGGGGAGCGAGTGAGCGAGTTGGTGGCTGGGTGGGCGAGTGGGGGAGCGAGTTGGTGGCTGGGTGGGCGAGTGGGGGAGCGAGTTGGTGGCTGGGTGGGCGAGTGGGGGAGCGAGTGAGCGAGTTGGTGGCTGGGTGGGCGAGTTGGTGGCTGGGTGGGGGAGCGAGTGAGCGAGTTGGTGGCTGGGTGGGCGAGTGGGAGAGCGAGTGAGCGAGTTGGTGGCTGGGTGGGGGAGCGAGTGAGCGAGTTGGTGGCTGGGTGGGCGAGTGGGGGAGCGAGTGAGCGAGTTGGTTGCTGGGTGGGCGAGTGGGGGAGCGAGTTGGTCGCTGGGTGGGCGAGTGGGGGAGCGAGTGAGCGAGTTGGTGGCTGGGTGGGGGAGCGAGTGAGCGAGTTGGTCGCTGGGTGGGCGAGTGGGGGAGCGAGTTGGTGGCTGGGTGGGCGAGTGGGGGAGCGAGTGAGCGAGTTGGTGGCTGGGTGGGCGAGTGGGCGAGTTGGTGGCTGGGTGGGGGAGCGAGTGAGCGAGTTGGTGGCTGGGTGGGCGAGTGGGAGAGCGAGTGAGCGAGTTGGTGGCTGGGTGGGGGAGCGAGTGAGCGAGTTGGTGGCTGGGTGGGCGAGTGGGGGAGCGAGTGAGCGAGTTGGTTGCTGGGTGGGCGAGTGGGGGAGCGAGTTGGTCGCTGGGTGGGCGAGTGGGGGAGCGAGTGAGCGAGTTGGTTGCTGGGTGGGCGAGTGGGCGAGCGAGTTGGTGGCTGGGTGGGCGAGTGGGTGAGCGAGTGAGCGAGTTGGTTGCTGGGTGGGCGAGTGGGTGAGCGAGTGAGCGAGTTGGTTGCTGGGTGGGCGAGTGGGGGAGCGAGTGAGCGAGTTGGTTGCTCGGTGGGCGAGTGGGGGAGCGAGTGAGCGAGTTGGTTGCTCGGTGGGCGGATGAGCGAATGAGCGAGCGAGCGGGTGGGTCTGAGCATGCGGGCGGGTAGGTGTGAGCATGCGGGTGGGTGAGCGAGTTGGTCACTGGGTGGGCGAGTAAGCGAGCGAGTGAGCGAGCGACTGAGTGGCCGGGTGAGTGAGCGTGCGTGCGGGCGAGCGAGTGGGTGAGCTGGGTGGGTGAGTGAGCGAGTGAGTGAGCGAGCAGGTGAGTTGGTCACTGGGTGGGTGAGTGGACGAGCGAGCGACTGAGTGGGTGGGCGAGCGAGGGAGCGGGCTTGCGGGTGAGCGTGCGTGCGTGAGCGAGTTGATCACTAGGTGGGTGAGTGAGTGAGTGAGTGAGCGAGCGAGCGAGCGGGTGAGTTGGTCACTGGGTGGGTGAGTGAGCGAGTGAGTGAGCGAGCGGGTGAGTTGGTCACTGCATGGGTGAGTGGACGAGCGAGCGAGTGAGTGGGTGGGCGAGCGAGCGGGTGGGCTTGCGGGTGAGCGTGCGTGCGTGAGCGAGTTGATCACTAGGTGGGTGAGTGAGTGAGTGAGTGAGCGAGCGAGCGAGCGGGTGAGTTGATCACTAGGTGGGTGAGTGAGTGAGCGAGCGAGCGAGCGGGCGAGTTGGTCACTGGGTGGGTGAGTGGGTGAGCGAGCTGGTTAGCATGCGGGCGGGCGAGCGGGCGGGCAAGCGAGCGGGTGAGCGATCAGGCGGGCAAGCGAGCGGGCGAGCGGGTGAGCGAGCGGGCGGGTGAGCGAGCGAGCGGGTGAGCGAGCGGGCGAGCGGGCGGGCGAGCGAGCGGGCGAGCGGGTGAGCGAGCGGGCGAGCGGGCGGGCGAGCGAGTGGGCGAGTGGGCGGGCGAGCGAGCGGGCGAGCGGGTGAGCGAGCGAGCGGGCGAGCGGGCGAGCGAGCGGGCGAGCGGGCGAGCGGGCGAGCGGGTGAGTGAGCGGGTGAGCGAGCGGGCGAGCGGGCGAGCGAGCGAGCGGGCGAGCGGGCGAGCGGGCGAGCGAGCGGGCGAGCGGGTGAGCGAGCGGGCGGGCAAGCGAGCGGGTGAGCGAGCGGGCGAGCGGGCGAGTGGGTGAGCGGGTGAGCGAGCGGGTGAGCGGGCGAGCGAGCGGGTGAGCGAGCGGGCGGGCAAGCGAGCGGGTGAGCGAGCGGGCGAGCGGGCGAGTGGGTGAGCGAGTGGGCGGGCAAGCGAGCGGGGGCGAGCGAGCGGGCGAGCGGGTGAGCGAGCGGGCGGGCAAGCGAGCGGGTGAGCGAGCGGGGCGAGCGGTGCGAGTGGGTGAGCGAGTGGGCGGGGCAAGCGAGCGGGTGAGCGAGCGGGCGAGCGGGCGAGCGGGTGAGCGAGCGGGCGGGCAAGCGAGCGGGTGAGCGAGCGGGCGGGCAAGCGAGCGGGTGAGCGAGCGGGCGAGCGGGCGAGTGGGTGAACGAGTGGGCGGGCAAGCGAGCGGGCGAGCGAGCGGGTGAGCGAGCGGGTGAGCGGGTGAGCGGGTGAGCGAGCGAGCGAGCGGGCGAGCGGGTGAGCGAGCGGGTGAGCGAGCGGGTGAGCGAGCGGGCCCACCCTGTAGGCGGCGATGCCCGAGTGCGTGGGGGCGAGGTGGAGGGGGGTGCCGTCCCTCGCCTTGGTGGGGACCAGGTGCAGGCCGAACCACTCCAACTTCCTTGCCACGTCCAGCAGGTGCAGCTCGGCCTGCCCGGGGCTCTGTCCACTACACAGGTACACACACACACAGGTACACACGCACAGGTACACACAGGTACACACACACAGGTACACACACACACAGGTACACACACACACAGGTACACACACACACAGGTACACACACACACAGGTACACACACACACAGGTACACACACACAGGTACACACACAAACAGATACACACACAGGTACACACACACACAGATACACACAGGTACACACACAGGTACACACACACAGGTACACACAGATACATACGCTCAGCACGTGCAGCTCGGCCTGCCCGGGGCTCTGTCCACTACACAGGTACACACACACAGGTACACGCACACACAGGTACACACACACAGGTACACACACACAGGTACACACACACAGGTACACACACACAGGTACACGCACAGGTACACACACAGGTACACACACACAGGTACACACACACAGGTACACACACACACAGGTACACACACACAGGTACACACACACAGGTACACACACACAGGTACACGCACAGGTACACACACACAGGTACACACACACAGGTACACACACACAGGTACACGCACAGGTACACACACAGGTACACACACACAGGTACACACACACAGGTACACACACACAGGTACACGCACACAGGTACACGCACACAGGTACACGCACAGGTACACACACACAGGTACACACACACAGGTACACACACACACAGGTACACACACACACAGGTACACACACACAGGTACACACACAGGTACACACACACACAGGTACACACACAGGTACACACAGAGGTACACACACAGGTACACGCACAGACAGATACACACAGGTACACACACAGGTACACACACAGGTACACACACAGACAGATACACACAGGTACACACAGATACACACAGGTACACACACACAGGTACACACACACAGCACGTGCATCTCGGCCTGACCAGGGCTCTGTCCACTACTCATACACTCTCTCGCTCACGCCCACTCAGGCCCACTCACGCCCACTCAGGCCCACTCACGCCCTCTCTCGCCCACACACGCCCACACACGCCTCACACGCCTCACACGCCCACACACGCCCACTCAGGCCCCCTCTCAGGCCCACTCAGGCCCTCTCTCGCCCACCCACCGGTGCTGCTGGTGCATGTGCAGGGCCGAGGCCTCCACAAGGGGGGCGATGGACGCCATCGGCCCCTCGGTGCGCAGGAAGTGGCGTGCCGAGCTCTCCGTGACGTCGCCCACCTCCGCTGCAACACGACGACAACACGACAACAACACAACAACAACACAACAACAACACAACAACAACACAACAATAACACAACAATAACACCACAACAACAAAATGACAACGCGCGGGGACAAAGGCAAAGGTCCCCCGGGCAGCCCTCTAACAGCACACCGACGAAAAACGAATCTGTTCAGAACCGCTTCACGATGCGTTTAGTGTCGTCCTTGCCTCCCGCGCACCTCCGATTAGCACGGTTGGCTACGTACGAAGTTCAACGTACAGTAACATACAACTGTGGCACTACTGCTCCCCATACAACAACAACAACAACCGCCATTCGCCACTAAGTGGCGGTGACGTCACCACGACGCTTGTGCCAGGCTATGTGCACCCTGAGGCCACGTGAAGTGTCGAACGCCCGCTGGCAGGAGGTCACGGGGCAGACCCAGGTGCCACGGGTCGACTGACTGAGATGACTGGCTGATGCACCACCTGTGCCCCCTACTGTGCCAACCTGCTGTGCTTTAGCCACCCGGCGCTCCGCTCGTTGTTCTGAGCGTCGCTCCTCCGCCCTCCGTTGTTGTTGGAGGGCGACTGCCTCCAACTGCCCAGTAGCATCCTTCACGAGCCTCCTCCACAGAGGCCGATCTTGACACCGCTGGTACCAGTCATCGGCAAGTCCACTCAGCTCCACGTCCTCCTGTACCACATCACTCCATCTCTTCTCTAGCCTGTGCCGCGCCCGCTTAGCCCCCTCAATCCGGCCAAACAAAAGCTGTTTCGGCATGCGGTGGCTGGGCATGCGGGCTACATGACCCAGCCATCGCAGCCTTGCCTGCCGGAGGAGCTCACCGATGGGACCCTGCCCAGATCTTTCAAGGATTTGTGAGCTCCTCACACAATCCAGTCTGGTTAAACCCAGGATGGATCGTAGGCAGGCCAGCCTAAATGTTTCTAACCGGCGAAGATGTTCCATTAGGGGGGTCCACGTTTCACAAGCGTAGAGAAGTGAGGGAATGACCGTGGCCGAGAAGACCTGAAGCTTAGTGCGGAGCGACAGACCAGGTAGCTTCCACACAGCGTTACGCAACCGATGAAAAGATATTGCCGCTCGACTGATTCGGAGTGAGACCTCTGCTGTTAAACTGGAGCCAGTCATAAGCACACTGCCCAGGTATGGGAAACTCTCCACTCTCTCCACAACTGCCTCATCACCGATTGGGAGTTGTGGGGGTGGAGTGTCCGATGGTACAAAATACCCAGGCAGGTGCTTAGTTTTGGTGGGGCTGATGGTAAGGCCCCACCTCTTAGTGGCACGCTCCAGTCTCAGCAGCAGCGTCTCCAACTCCTCCTCTGACTGAGCAGCTATTACCAAATCATCAGCATACATAACGTGGTTGAGCAATAGGGAGCCATCCCTTGACCGCACCCGGGCATCGATTAGCCTCCCATTATATCTGTACCATATGGAGATTCCCCCGGTACAGCTATTGAAGGCTTCACAAACTACGTGGTCAAAATAGATGTTAAATAATGTGGGAGCCAGAGGACATCCCTGTCGCACCCCAAGGTGTACAGGGAATGGCTCTGACTCCCGGCCATGTAGTTTTATCCGGGCCCGCTCACCATCATGAAGGTCCTTAATGATCGTGAGCAGAGGGTCAGGTACTCCAAAAGCACGAAGAACGACCCAGAGCCCAGGCCTACTGATGGTATCATAGGCCTTGACCAGGTCAATAAAGCAGAGATGTAGGTCTTGTTGGAATTCCCTACACCTCTGCTGTAGCAGACGGACAGAAAATATGGCATCTGTGCAGGACCGCCCTTTCCTGAAACCGCATTGGGGCTCCGCAAGCCTCTCCTCAGCGTGCCTGGCAAGGCGATGCTGAATAATCCTTGCCAGGACCTTTCCCGGCACACTGAGGAGTGAGATGCCCCTGTAGTTGTTACAGTCTGTGCGGTCCCCCTTCTTAAAAAGGGGGACCACCAGGGCATCCTTCCAATCCTGTGGAACCCGTCCAGTGGTCCAGACTGTTGTTATGATGTCATATAGGGCAGTCTGTGCACAAACGCCACCCTCCCTCAGCATTTCGCTTGGGAGATCATCTCTGCCCGCTGCCTTTCCTGGTCTCAGACTCCGGATCGCCTTCAATACTTCCTCAGCAGATGGCACCTCAGCCAGCCACTCACAGGGGGTGACTTCTTCCAATATTTGAGGCACCGCAGCCTCAGCAGGGTCATCCTCACCTTGTGCCACAATGTTTTCCTGGCTGTGGGATTTTCCCTCCCCCAGGACCTCACAGAAATGCTCAGCAAATCTGCGAACCTGTTCCTGGGGGTCGGAGATTGGATCACCGTTTTTTCCCCTAATGATGGTAATAGGTGTGGCGCTGCAGGTGACTTTTTTGATGGAGTTAAATAGAGATTTGTAATCACGGGCCACTGAGGCAGACTCCATCTCCTCAGCAACCCGCGACCACCACCCATCCTTGCAGCGCCTCACGGCTCTCCGAACCTCCGAGCGAAGGCTGCGGTAAGCCTCCTCATTCTCTGACGTGGGATTCTGTAGCCGATGACAGTGGGCCTGTCGCTTTTTCTCAACCATCCTGAACACCTCCTCTGTCAGCCAGGGTCTCTGGGGAGGTCTGGACCGCGTACCCAAAGCAGCCATTGCAGCTGCATGAGTCACAGTCCTAAACCTCGCCCATTTACCCTCGACATCAGGAGGAGTCGGGGATGATGCCAATCCCAGCCGCAAGCGATGATGAAATTCTCGCTTGCAACTTTCATCAGATAATTGAGACCAGGCCACTTTATGTTGGAATGGGGTCCTGGGTGTACACCCACCACCGGAGTGGAAGAATGGCAGGCGCATCTTACAGATGACTAGTCGATGGTCAGAGGGCAAATCAGCTCCACGGTAGGTCCTGGTGTCAAGGACATGGGCTCGCATTCGCTGGTCCGTCACTATGTAGTCCAGCAGATGTTCCTGCTTGGACCCGGCATGCATCCATGATGTTGTGTGGATGCGCCGATGCCGGGACAGCGCGCTGGTAATTACAAGCCCATGGGCTGCACAAAAATCTAGCAGCCTCCTACCGTTGTTATTGAGCTGATCTGGCCCATGCCCTCCAATCACTCCAGACCAGGTGCCAGTATCATGACCAACTCGGGCATTGAAGTCGCCCAACATGATGACTCTATCCCGAGGGGCCACTTTAGCCAGCACCTGTGACAGGAGGTCATAGAAGGCATCTGACTCATCGGCTTTGCCTGCATCCCTCCACGGATGTTCATCTTCGGTGGGGGCGTAAGTAACCACGACCACCATTCCTCGCCTCCGGTTGATGGGAAGGCGAGCCCAAAGTAGCCTGGGTCTAACAGCTTCCCACACCTCACCGCCACGCTCCCACGCCCCCTTCATTCTCTTGTTCAAAAGAAGACCCACACCCTGTTGTTTGGCAGTCTGCTGCCCCGAGTAGAGGACTGTCCACCCCTCATGGTGGCAGGAGCCAGAGCCGGTCCACCGGACCTCCTGAATGCCGCATAGATCCAGGCGGTACCGGTCCAGCTCCCGACAGAGGAGTGGCAGCCTCTCCTCTGCAGTGAGCGTTCGAACATTCCACGTGGCCATCCGTAGTGGCTTTTCGTTGTTTCTGGAGTAGCCCCGAGGGTAGGTATTCAATCTCCTGGCTCCGCCAATTGGGGTTTGGCCAGGAGACGTCATAGACGCCTGGCCCCCCGGGGCCTCCGGCACAAGCTTATTAGTTACATATTTCAGTTTAACTCGTAGTTTCGTGGTAATTAATTGAAGGTGGAGGGGTTACCAGCCCCTCGCACCCGTCCAGAGCCCCCGTTTAGCCCCTGTGGTGGACACATATGCCATGAGGGGAGGAGCCAATCAAAATTGGATCTCCCCCCACAGCACTGTCCACGTATAGCTGTAACTGACTGCTGGGGCAAGTGCTGCTAGCGAGCAGCACCTACGAAGGCCGGCACGGCACACGAGGTTGCGGGTTGCCAGCACCACCACGCCCGGCCGCCTTTGTCTCCCCAGTGGCGATGTTTACTACACCACCGCACCAGGTACTCCCTTGAGGCTGAGTCGACCTAGGGGAGGCCCAGGACCGGGTTTAGATAATCGTCAACGGTGTTGGCCGTGAGCGGGAATCGAACTCGGGTCGCCGGGTTCGTAGCGCAGCGCTCCCCTTGCTATGCGCACGCACACACACGCTCATGTACACACGCACGCACACTCACTCACTAACTCACACTCACTCTAAGCCAAACAAATGTTTTATTTCACCAGGTGAGGCCCAGTGAGCTGCCGTGCAACTCCTTTGCAGAAGCGACCTGGCCACCTCAAATGACAGCTCAACATCATTGGCTCATCATCATCATTATCATCGCGTGCAAATTTAAAGGGCAAAATTTCGCCACCAGTGTCAAAAAAAAGTTGGAAAAAAATTAGAAGGGGCTTTACACTTTCTGGCAGCAATAAAAGAGTCGTGTGAAGACGTTCAAACACCCAACAGATTACACCCTTTGCTTAGAATCAAGTTACCGTGCATTAGTATCGAGTTAGACTAAACATTGTAATCTAAATTGTATCGATTGTCATTGTGATCAAACATCAAAATGCGATTATTATTATTCTTATTATTTTGCACGTTTTTGCACGCAGCATAAACAAACGGTGCATTTTCTGGCAAGACCTCATTGTTTTTTGCCGGGGATGTTTAAACTTGCGTGCCGCCGAATCTTAAATGTACCTTGCGATGTTATTGATTGTCGCGGTCGCATCCCCAAATCAAGAGCCGAATGGCTCGCGGGGCGATTCCAAACAAATGAAAACCGAGACGGAAAATGAAAAAAAAACGCGCACCGATGCCTGCGTTGAAACACGGCGAACAAACATTTCTCGATCTTGACTTGGCCGCATTGCCTGCCTGCGGGAGTCCATGTACTCTTTGGTTCTTTCGGGAAAAGCCATCACGTGGGCAGAAATGAAAGAAAGCACGACAGGCGACGACGTTTCGGTCGCCCGATGGCGACCGCTCGTGTTGCCAACGAAACGCCCGTCATCCGTTGCATTTCGTTTCATTTCCAATGACGCTCGGCAGTACAAAGCGTTCGTAAATAAAAAGGCGTTTATGGGTTGGATCGCGTTTCATTTACGAATGTGTCGTAACCCTCCACCGCCCGGCACGACCAATCAGCAAAATAAAGTGTCGCGTTGACAAAAGGCAAAATAAATTTTGATTTAAAGCTTTCGTGACTGCAGCAATTCATATTCTTAGTTTTTTTCGGTAAAGTCACGTTGAAGGGAAACAACAAAATAATAATACTGCGCCTGATGTGAGTTGTATTTTATTATTTTGTTGTTTCCCTTCAACGTGACTTTACCCGAAAAAACTAAGAATATAAAAGGCAAAATAGTTCACTACTTTAGCCCCCCTCACCGGTGTGTTGAAGAGCGAATCCACAACATTTACGATGTTTGAGTAGTACCGTGACGTTTCGCTGCCAATTACATCCAGCATCATCGGGCAATTCGCCACAATGGTAAAGCCCTCACTTGCTCCCGGTTTTATATAGAGCAGCAGCAGGGTGACGTCATCACTTAACTCATATCAGGTGCAGTAATTATATGATCGATCGGTAATCAGTCAATGGTTATGATTAGTAATGAGTTGTAGATTAGTAATTCGTTGTAATGTGTGTTATTGTGATTATATGCTACGTTAGTAATCCGTTAATTAGTATGTGTTTCATTATGAGACCTCCTTTGCCAGAAACAAGATATGAGAATAGGTTTTACCCTTTTAACTGGCACAAAAACTGACACCTTTATTCAAGGCATCATGTTTGCAATAACCACAACACAAGCAGTCAAAATGCAAACAAAAAAGACAACTCTGATAATATCGTGCATATTATTATCAGAGTTGTCTTTTTTGTTTGCATTTTGACTGCTTGTGTTGTGGTTATTGCAAACATGATGCCTTGAATAAAGGTGTCAGTTTTTGTGCCAGTTAAAAGGGTAAAACCTATTCTCATAGTATGTGTTTCCCCTATAAGGGAAAGCGTATACGTGCACTGCTGTATTGCAACACCCTCGCTCGTTAATCAAGTTAATATCTATTTAACAATGTTTGCTCCGTCTTGCAAAACACTCGCAGACCAAGTTACTCGCAATCCAAGGTTTCACCGTGCGTCACTTCACCGAAAAAAAACCAGAGGGGTAAACACTGCTCTGATAATATCGACGCACTGCGCTTGGAAACCCCATTGGCCTACAACAGAGACGGCAGCCTTCTTCAGGGCCTTAGTCTCACCAGCAGTGTCAGAACAGAGAGCAACGCCAATCGGCGAACGGTCTCGCGGCGCACTCACCCCGAGCTATGAATGCCCACAAGTACAGCCGCGCGTGTGGTTAAATGCGCGGTAACTTGCTTGCTTGCAGAAAGGGTACAAAACATGTGCTCATTTTTTTCTGATTTTATAGGACGTTGATTCTTAATGCGGAGGGGGAAAACCCGGACGACCCGGAGAGAAATCGACGTGACCACGGGGAGCGAGAGAGAGAGAGAGACGCAGACTCCAAATATACAGCAGCAGGCATCGTCAGCGACGGGATGAACCCCATGACCACCTGCGTACCGGGCGAAGTAGTTAACATCTCCTAGCCACCGTGATGATGATGAGAGAGAGAGACACACAGACTACAAATATACAGCAGCAGGCATCGTCAGCGACGGGATGAACCCCATGACCACCTGCGTACCGGGCGAAGTAGTTAACATCTCCTAGCCACCGTGATGATGATGAGAGAGAGAGACACACAGACTACAAATATACAGCAGCAGGCATCGTCAGCGACGGGATGAACCCCATGACCACCTGCGTACCGGGCGAAGTAGTTAACATCTCCTAGCCACCGTGATGATGATGAGAGAGAGAGAGAGACGCAGACTCCAAATATACAGCAGCAGGCGTTGTCAGGGACGGGATCGAACCCACGACCTCCTGCGTACCAGGCGAGGTAGTCAACATCTCCTAGCCACCGTGGCGCTATTCCCTACTCACCCTGCAGCAGGTAAGAGAGCAGCAGGGCCCTAGAGGTGTCGCTGCAGGGCAGGCGGCCGTGAGAAAGATCTCGCCTCACCTGCAGCACAAACAAATACCTGCACACACACACACACAAGGACAAAGGTCCCCCGTGTAGCCTTAACAGGCTGTGTACGTACACACACACACAAGGCACTGTGGCACACGAGGGGGTGGGTGGATCCAGCACCACGCCCGGCCGCCTTTGTCTCCCCAGTGGCGACGTTTACTCCACACCGCTACACCGGGTGCTCATTTGAGGCTGAGTCGACCCGTGTCTCCACGTGTCCCCACGTCCCCCCGTGTGTCCGTGTCCCCGTGTGTGTCCCCACGTCCCCACGTCCCCCACGTCACCACGTCCCCACGTCCCCCGTGTCCCCATGCCCCTCCGCGCCTCACCTCGTGAATTCATAAAACAGCTGTCCAGGGTCTGGAGGGAAAAACTTCACGCTCATCTTGAACGTCACCATGGAGGGTTCTGAGACACGCGGAGACGCGCGGGGGACACGCGGGGGACACGCATGGAGACACGCACGGAGAGACACGCACGGAGAGACACGCACGGAGAGACACGCGGAGACACGCACGGAGAGACACGCACGGAGAGACACGCGGAGACACGCACGGAGAGACACGCACGGAGAGACACGCACGGAGAGAGACGAGGACGCAGGGAGAGAGGTTGGCGGGGAGATGAAGGAAGCCAGTCCCACCGGCACAAGGGAGAGAGACATGGAGACATGAACACGCGAAGGCAAAGACACCCCCCGTGTAGCCTTTAGCAGGCGTTTGGGGCAAGTGCTGTTAGCGAGCTCCTATGGAGGCTGCCGAGGGGGTGGGTGGCCAGCACCACGCCCGGGCCGCCTTTGTCTCCCCAGTGGCGATGTTTACTACACACCGCTACACCAGGTACTCATTTGAGGCTGAGTCGACCTAGGGGAGGCCCAGGACCGGTTCCGATAATCGGACGCACACACACACACACACACGTGCACACACACACACACACATGTACGCACACACACACACACGTGTACGCACACACACACACACGTGTACGCACACACACACACACGTGTACGCGCACACACACACACACACACGTGTACGCACACACACACACGTGTACGCACACACACACGTGTACGCACACACACACACACACACGTGTACGCACACACACACACACGTGTACACACACACACACACGTGTACGCACACACACACACACACACGTGTACGCACACACACACACACGTGTACGCACACACACACGTGTACACGCACACACACACACGTGTACGCACACACACACACACACGTGTACGCACACACACACACACACGTGTACGCACACACACACGTGTACGCGCACACACACACGTGTACGCGCACACACACACGTGTACGCGCACACACACACACGTGTACGCACACACACACACACGTGTACGCACACACACACGTGCACGCACACACACACACACACGTGCACGCACACACACACACACACGTGTACGCACACACACACACGTGTACGCACACACACACACGTGTACGCACACACACACACACACGTGTACGCACACACACACACACGTGTACGCACACACACACACACGTACGTACACACACACACACGTGTACGCGCACACACACGTGTACACGCACACACACGTGTACACGCACACACACGTGTACGTACACACACACACGTGTACGTACACACACACGTGTACGTACACACACACACACGTACGTACACACACACGTGTACGTACACACACACGTGTACGTACACACACACACGTGTACGTACACACACGTGTACGTACACACACGTGTACGCACATACACACACGTGTACGTACACACACACACACACGTGTACGTACACACACACACACGTACACACACACACGTGTACGTACACACACACACACGTGTACGTACACACACACACGTGTACGTACACACACACACGTGTACGTACACACACACACACGTGTACGTACACACACACACACGTGTACGTACACACACACACACGTGTACGTACACACACACGTGTACACACACACACGTGTACACACACACACGTGTACGCACACACACACACACGTGTACATACACACACGTGTACGCACACACACACGTGTACATACACACACGTGTACGTACACACACACACGTGCACGCACACACACACACGTGTACACACACACACACATGGACCTCCATCCCCTCCGTGTCTGTGAGTCTCTCACTTCTCACTTGCTTGGTGATCCTCTTCCTGGCGTCCAGCCACACCTGCACCACGCACAAAGACAAAGGTCACCAGCGTGGCCTTCCAGGGGCAAATGCCTCGTGCAGCAGCAGCAGGCAACAGCAGGCAACAGGCAGCAGCAGGCAACAGGCAGCAGGCAGCAGGCAACAGGCAGCAGCAGCAACAGGCAACAGCAGCAGGCAACAGCAGGCAGCAAGGCGGCGCGGCTTCTCTGTGTGATGAGTCTATGTGTCTCTGTGTAATGATTCCATGTGTCTCTGTGTAATGATTCTATGTGTCTCTGTGTGATGAGTCTATGTGTCTCTGTGTAATGATTCTATGTGTCTCTGTGTAATGATTCTATGTGTCTCTGTGTAATGATTCTATGTGTCTCTGTGTAATGATTCTATGTGTCTCTGTGTAATGATTCTATGTGTCTCTGTGTAATGATTCTATGTGTCTCTGTGTGATGAGTCTATGTGTCTCTGTGTAATGATTCTATGTGTCTCTGTGTAATGATTCTATGTGTCTCTCTGTAACGATTCTATGTGTCTCTGTGTGATGAGTCTATGTGTCTCTGTGTAATGATTCTATGTGTCTCTGTGTGATGAGTCTATGTGTCTCTGTGTAATGAGTCTATGTGTCTCTGTGTGGTCAGTCTATGGGTCTCTGTGTAATGATTCTATGTGTCTCTGTGTAATGATTCTATGTGTCTCTGTGTAATGATTCTATGTGTCTCTGTGTAATGATTCTATGTGTCTCTGTGTAATGATTCTATGTGTCTCTGTGTGATGAGTCTATGTGTCTCTGTGTAATGATTCTATGTGTCTCTGTGTAATGATTCTATGTGTCTCTCTGTAACGATTCTATGTGTCTCTGTGTGATGAGTCTATGTGTCTCTGTGTAATGATTCTATGTGTCTCTGTGTGATGAGTCTATGTGTCTCTGTGTAATGAGTCTATGTGTCTCTGTGTGGTTAGTCTATGGGTCTCTGTGTAATGATTCTATGTGTCTCTGTGTAATGATTCTATGTGTCTCTGTGTAATGATTCTATGTGTCTCTCTGTAACGATTCTATGTGTCTCTGTGTAATGATTCTATGTGTCTCTGTGTAATGATTCTATGTTTCTCTGTGTAATGAGTCTATGTGTCTCTGTGTAATGATTCTATGCGTCTCTGTGTGATGATTCTATGTGTCTCTGTGTAATGAGTCTATGTGTCTCTGTGTAATGATTCTATGTTTCTCTGTGTAATGATTCTACGTGTCTCTGTGTAATGATTCTATGTGTCTCTGTGTAATGAAACTATGTGTCTCTGTGTAATGATCCTATGTGTCTCTGTGTGATGATCATATGTGTCTCTGTGTAATGATTCTATGTGCCTCTGTGTAATGATTCTACGTGTCTCTGTGTAATGATTCTATGTGTCTCTGTGTAATGATTCTATGTGTCTCTGTGTAATAGGTCTATGTGTCTCTGTGTAATGATTCTATGTGTCTCTGTGTAATGATTCTATGTGTCTCTGTGTAATGATTCTATGTGTCTCTGTGTAATGATTCTATGTGTCTCTGTGTGATGATTCTATGTGTCTCTGTGTGATGATTATATGTGTCTCTGTGTGATGATTCTATGTGTCTCTGTGTAATGAGTCTATGTGTCTCTGTGTGATGAGTCTATGTGTCTCTGTGTAATGATTCTATGTGTCTCTGTGTAATGAGTCTGTGTCTCTGTGTAATGAGTCTATGTGTCTCTGTGTGATGAGTCTATGTGTCTCTGTGTAATGATTCTATGTGTCTCTGTGTAATGATTCTATGTGTCTCTGTGTAATGATTCTATGTGTCTCTGTGTAATGATTCTATGTGTCTCTGTGTAATGATTCTATGTGTCTCTGTGTAATGAGTCTATGTGTCTCTGTGTAATGATTCTATGTGTCTCTGTGTGATGAGTCTATGTGTCTCTGTGTGATGAGTCTATGTGTCTCTGTGTAATGATTCTACGTGTCTCTGTGTAATGATTCTATGTGTCTCTGTGTAATGATTCTATGTGTCTCTGTGTAATCATTCTATGTGTCTCTGTGTAATGATTCTATGTGTCTCTGTGTAATGAGTCTATGTGTCTCTGTGTAATGAGTCTATGTGTCACTGTGTAATGATTCTATGTGTCTCTGTGTAATGATTCTATGTGTCTCTGTGTGATGATTCTATGTCTCTCTGTGTAATGATTCTATGTGTCTCTGTGTGATGAGTCTATGTGTCTCTGTGTAATGATTCTATGTGTCTCTGTGTGATGAGTCTATGTGTCTCTGTGTAATGAGTCTATGTGTCTCTGTGTGGTCAGTCTATGGGTCTCTGTGTAATGATTCTATGTGTCTCTGTGTAATGATTCTATGTGTCTCTGTGTAATGATTCTATGTGTCTCTCTGTAACGATTCTATGTGTCTCTGTGTAATGATTCTATGTATCTCTGTGTAATGATTCTATGTTTCTCTGTGTAATGAGTCTATGTGTCTCTGTGTAATGATTCTATGCGTCTCTGTGTGATGATTCTATGTGTCTCTGTGTAATGAGTCTATGTGTCTCTGTGTAATGATTCTATGTTTCTCTGTGTAATGATTCTACGTGTCTCTGTGTAATGATTCTATGTGTCTCTGTGTAATGAAACTATGTGTCTCTGTGTAATGATCCTATGTGTCTCTGTGTGATGATTCTATGTGTCTCTGTGTAATGATTCTATGTGCCTCTGTGTAATGATTCTACGTGTCTCTGTGTAATGATTCTATGTGTCTCTGTGTAATGATTCTATGTGTCTCTGTGTAATAGGTCTATGTGTCTCTGTGTAATGATTCTATGTGTCTCTGTGTAATGATTCTATGTGTCTCTGTGTAATGATTCTATGTGTCTCTGTGTAATGATTCTATGTGTCTCTGTGTGATGATTCTATGTGTCTCTGTGTGATGATTCTATGTGTCTCTGTGTGATGATTCTATGTGTCTCTGTGTAATGAGTCTATGTGTCTCTGTGTGATGAGTCTATGTGTCTCTGTGTAATGATTCTATGTGTCTCTGTGTAATGAGTCTATGTGTCTCTGTGTAATGAGTCTATGTGTCTCTGTGTGATGAGTCTATGTGTCTCTGTGTAATGATTCTATGTGTCTCTGTGTAATGATTCTATGTGTCTCTGTGTAATGATTCTATGTGTCTCTGTGTAATGATTCTATGTGTCTCTGTGTAATGATTCTATGTGTCTCTGTGTAATGAGTCTATGTGTCTCTGTGTAATGATTCTATGTGTCTCTGTGTGATGAGTCTATGTGTCTCTGTGTGATGAGTCTATGTGTCTCTGTGTAATGATTCTACGTGTCTCTGTGTAATGATTCTACGTGTCTCTGTGTAATGATTCTATGTGTCTCTGTGTAATCATTCTATGTGTCTCTGTGTAATCATTCTATGTGTCTCTGTGTAATGATTCTATGTGTCTCTGTGTAATGATTCTATGTGTCTCTGTGTAATGATTCTACGTGTCTCTGTATAATGATTCTACATGTCTCTGTATAATGATTCTACATGTCTCTGTGTAATGATTCTATATGTTTCTGTGTAATGATTCTATGTGTCTCTGTGTAATGATTATATGTGTCTCTGTGTAATGATTCTATGGGTCTCTGTGTAATGATTCTATGTGTCTCTGTGTAATGATTCTATGTGTCTCTGTGTAATGATTCTATGTGTCTCTGTGTAATGATTCTATGTGTCTCTGTGTAATGATTCTATGTGTCTCTGTGTAATGAGTCTATGTGTCTCTGTGTAATGAGTCTATGTGTCACTGTGTAATGATTCTATGTGTCTCTGTGTAATGATTCTATGTGTCTCTGTGTGATGATTCTATGTCTCTCTGTGTAATGATTCTATGTGTCTCTGTGTGATGAGTCTATGTGTCTCTGTGTAATGATTCTATGTGTCTCTGTGTGATGAGTCTATGTGTCTCTGTGTAATGAGTCTATGTGTCTCTGTGTGGTCAGTCTATGGGTCTCTGTGTAATGATTCTATGTGTCTCTGTGTAATGATTCTATGTGTCTCTGTGTAATGATTCTATGTGTCTCTGTGTGATGAGTCTATGTGTCTCTGTGTGATGAGTCTATGTGTCTCTGTGTAATGATTCTACGTGTCTCTGTGTAATGATTCTATGTGTCTCTGTGTAATGATTCTATGTGTCTCTGTGTAATCATTCTATGTGTCTCTGTGTAATGATTCTATGTGTCTCTGTGTAATGATTATATGTGTCTCTGTGTAATGATTCTATGGGTCTCTGTGTAATGATTCTATGTGTCTCTGTGTAATGATTCTATGTGTCTCTGTGTAATGAGTCTATGTGTCTCTGTGTAATGATTCTATGTGTCTCTGTGTAATGATTCTATGTGTCTCTGTGTAATGAAACTATGTGTCTCTGTGTAATGATTCTGTGTCTCTGTGTGATGATTCTATGTGTCTCTGTGTAATGATTCTATGTGTCTCTGTGTAATGATTCTACGTGTCTCTGTGTAATGATTCTATGTGTCTCTGTGTAATAGGTCTATGTGTCTCTGTGTAATGATTCTATGTCTCTGTGTAATGATTCTATGTGTCTCTGTGTAATGATTCTGTGTCTCTGTGTGATGATTCTATGTGTCTCTGTGTAATGATTCTATGTGTCTTTGTGTAATGATTCTATGTGTCTCTGTGTAATGATTCTATGTGTCTCTGTGTGATGAGTCTATGGGTCTCTGTGTGATGAGTCTATGGGTCTCTGCGTGATGAGTCTATGACTCTCTCTCTGTGTGATGAGTCTATGGGTCTCTGCGTGATGAGTCTATGGGTCTCTGTGTGATGAGTCTATGGGTCTCTGCGTGATGAGTCTGTGGCTCTCTCTCTGCGTGATGAGTCTATGGGTCTCTGTGTGATGAGTCTATGGGTCTCTGCGTGATGAGTCTGTGGCTCTCTCTCTGCATGATGAGTCTATGGGTCTCTGTGTGATGAGTCTATGGGTCTCTGCGTGATGAGTCTATGGGTCTCTGCGTGATGAGTCTATGACTCTCTCTCTGTGTGATGAGTCTATGGGTCTCTGCGTGATGAGTCTATGGGTCTCTGTGTGATGAGTCTATGGGTCTCTGCGTGATGAGTCTGTGGCTCTCTCTCTGCGTGATGAGTCTATGGGTCTCTGTGTGATGAGTCTATGGGTCTCTGCGTGATGAGTCTGTGGCTCTCTCTCTGCATGATGAGTCTATGGGTCTCTGTGTGATGAGTCTATGGGTCTCTGCGTGATGAGTCTATGGGTCTCTGCGTGATGAGTCTATGGGTCTCTGCGTGATGAGTCTGTGGCTCTCTCTCTGTGTGATGAGTCTATGGGTCTCTGCGTGATGAGTCTATGGGTCTCTGCGTGATGAGTCTATGGGTCTCTGCGTGATGAGTCTATGGGTCTCTGCGTGATGAGTCTATGGATCTCTCTCTGTGTGATGAATCTATGGGTCTCTGTGTGTGATGAGTCTGTGGCTCTCTCTCTGCGTGATGAGTCTATGGGTCTCTGTGTGATGAGTCTATGGGTCTCTGCGTGATGAGTCTGTGGCTCTCTCTCTGCATGATGAGTCTATGGGTCTCTGTGTGATGAGTCTATGGGTCTCTGTGTGATGAGTCTATGGGTCTCTGCGTGATGAGTCTATGGGTCTCTGTGTGATGAGTCTATGGGTCTCTGTGTGGTGAGTCTGTGGGTCTCTCTCTGCGTGATGAGTCTATGGGTCTCTGCGTGATGAGTCTGTGGGTCTCTGTGTGGTGAGTCTATGGGTCTCTGCGTGATGAGTCTGTGGGTCTCTGTGTGGTGAGTCTGTGGGTCTCTGTGTGGTGAGTCTGTGGATCTCTGTGTGGTGAGTCTGTGGGTCTCTGTGTGGTGAGTCTATGGGTCTCTGTGTGGCGAGTCTGTGGGTCTGTGTGGTGAGTCTATGGGTCACTGCGTGATGAGTCTGTGGGTCTCTGTGTGGTGAGTCTATGGGTCTCTGTGTGGTGAGTCTGTGGGTCTCTGCGTGATGAGTCTATGGGTCTCTGCGTGATGAGTCTATGGGTCTCTGTCTCTGCGTGAGTCACCCTCCCCGACCGCTCGCTCACTGACGAGTGCCGTAGCCAGGCCGGGCGAGCCCTTCCGCACTCGCCTGATTTCCGCGGTGATCTTCAAACTCCAGGCCAAAGTAGTCGCTCTCCACAACGCGCAGCAGCTGCCACACCGAGTCGAGCAGAGTCCCTCCGTTCGCTCCCTTCTGCAGAGAGAGAGAAAACAGCATTCACATCAGCAGCAGCATCAGTAGCAGCATCATCAGTAGCAGCATCATCAGTAGCAGCATAATCAGTAGCAGCATCATCAGTAGCATCATCATCAGTAGCAGCATCATCAGTAGCAGCATAATCAGTAGCAGCATCATCAGTAGCATCATCATCAGTAGCAGCATCATCAATAGCAGCATCATCAGTAGCAGCATCATCAGTAGCAGCATCATCAGTAGCAGCATCATCAGTAGCAGCATCATCAGTAGCAGCATCATCAGTAGCAGCATCATCAGTAGCAGCATCATCAGTAGCAGCATCATCAGTAGCAGCATCATCAGTAGCAGCATAATCAGTAGCAGCATCATCAGTAGCAGCATCATCAGTAGCAGCATCATCAGTAGCAGCATCATCAGTAGTAGCAGCATCACCAATAGCAGCATCATCAGTAGTAGCATCATCAGTATCAGCATCATCAGTATCAGCATCATCAGTAGCAGCATCATCAGTAGTAGCATCATCAGTATCAGCATCATCAGTATCAGCATCATCAGTAGCAGCATCATCAGTAGCAGCATCATCAGTAGCAGCATCATCAATATCAGCATCATCAGTAGCAACATCAGCAGCGGCATCATCAGTAGCATCAGCAGCGGCAGCAGCAGCATCATCATCAGCAGCAGCAGCATCATCATCAGCAGCAGCAGCAGCAGCATCATCATCATCATCAGTAGTAGCAGCATCATCATTAGTGGCAGCATCATCAGTAGCAGCATCATCAGTAACACCATCAGTAGCAGCAGCATCATCATCAGTCTCACGAAGTCGAGCGGTGCAGCATGGAGGGAAATCATCATCAGCGGGTGACAGTCGCTAGGTAACCAGGTTGCTAAGAAACTTGGTAGCCCGGTTGCTAGGTAACCAAGTAGCTCGGCAAGCAGCTGCTCTGGTTGGTAAACAACCAGGCGAATGGGTCTCTAAGCAACGGGGGTTGCTAGGCGACTGTGCCTCAAGGCAAACAGGTGTTCTGGTTGCTAGACAACCAGCTTGCTAGGCGACCATGTCTCTAGGCAAACAGGTGTTTTGGTTGCTAGACAACCAGGTTGCTAGGCGACCGTGTCTCTAGGCAAACAGGTGTTCTGGTTGCTAGACAACCAGGTTGCTAGGCGACCGTGTCTCTAGGCAAACAGGTGTTCTGGTTGCTAGACAACCAGGTTACTAGGCGACTGTGCCTCAAGACAAACAAGAGTTTTGGTTGCTAGATAACCAGGTTGCTAGGCGACGGTGTCTCTAGGCAAACAGGAGTTTTGGTTGCTAGACAACCAGGTTGCTAGGCGACCGTGTCTCTAGGCAAACAGGTGTTTTGGTTGCCAGACAACCAGGTTGCTAGACGACCGTGTCTCTAGGCAAACAGGAGTTTTGGTTGCTAGACAACCAGGTTGCTAGGCGACCGTGTCTCTAGGCAAACAGGTGTTTTGGTTGCTAGACAACCAGGTTGCTAGGCGACCGTGTCTCTAGGCAAACAGGTGTTTTGGTTGCTAGACAACCAGGTTGCTAGGCGACCGTGTCTCTAGGCAAACAGGTGTTCTGGTTGCTAGACAACCAGGTTACTAGGCGACTGTGCCTCAAGACAAACAGGAGTTTTGGTTGCTAGACAACCAGGTTGCTAGGCGACGGTGTCTCTAGGCAAACAGGCGTTTTGGTTGCTAGACAACCAGGTTGCTAGGTAACCGTGTCTCTAGGCAAACAGGAATTTTGGTTGCTAGACAACCAGGTTGCTAGGTAACCATGTCTCTAGGCAAAGAGGTGTTTTGGTTGCTAGACAAACAGATTGCTAGGCGACCGTGTCTCTAGGCAAACAGGTGTTTTGGTTGCTAGACAACCAGGTTGCCAGGCGACCGTGTCTCTAGGCAAACAGGAGTTTTGGTTGCTGGACAACCAGGTTGCTAGGCGACTGTGTCTTTAGGCAAACAGGTGTTTTGGTTGTTAGACAACCAGATTGCTAGGCGACCGTGTCTCTAGGCAAACAGGAGTTTTGGTTGCTAGACAACCAGGTTGCTAGGCGACCGTGTCTTTAGGCAAACAGGTGTTTTGGTTGCTAGACAACCAGGTTGCTAGGCGACCGTGTCTTTAGGCAAACAGGTGTTTTGTTTGCTAGACAACCAGGTTGCTAGGCGACTCTGTCTCTAGGCAAACAGGTGTTCTGGTTGCTAGAAAACCAGGTTGCCAGGCGACCGTGTCTCTAGGCAAACAAGTGTTCTGGTTGCTAGACAACCTGGTTGCTAGGTAACCGTGTCTCTAGGCAAACAGGTGTTCTGGTTGCTAGACAACCAGCTTGCCAGGCGACCGTGTCTCTATGCAAACAGGTGTTCTGGTTGCTAGACAACCAGGTTGCCAGGCGACCGTGTCTCTAGGCAAACAGGTGTTTTGGTTGCTAGACAACCAGGTTGCTAGGCGACCGTGTCTCTAGGCAAACAGGAGTTTTGGTTGCTAGACAACCAGGTTGCTAGGTCACTGTCTCTCTAGGCAAACAGGAGTTTTGGTTGCTAGACAACCAGGTTGCTAGGTAACCGTCTGTCTAGGCAAACAGGTGTTTTGGTTGCTAGACAACACGGTTGCTAGGTGACCGTCTCTCTAGGCAAACAGGTGTTTTGGTTGCTAGACAACCAGGTTGCTAGGCGACCGTGTCTCTAGGCAAACAGGAGTTTTGGTTGCTAGACAACCAGGTTGCTAGGTAAGCGTGTCTCTAGGCAAACAGGTGTTTTGGTTGCTAGACAATCAGGTTGCTAGGTAACCGTCTCTCTAGGCAAACAGGAGTTTTGGTTGCTAGACAACCAGGTTGCTAGGCGACCATGTCTCTAGGCAAACAGGCGATTTGGTTGCTAGACAACCAGGTTGCTAGGTAACCGTGTCTCTAGGCAAACAGGTGTTCTTGTTGCTAGACAACCAGGTTGCTAGGCGACCATGTCTCTAGGCAAACAGGCGATTTGGTTGCTAGACAACCAGGTTGCTAGGCGACCGTGTCTCTAGGCAAACAGGTGTTTTGGTTGCTAGACAACCAGGTTGCCAGGCGACCGCGTCTCCAGGCAGCCAGCGGAACGCGTCGCTATGGCAACGGGGGGTTGCCAGGCGACGGCACCTGCAGCAGGAAGGTGTGCGAGGCATCGCCGAGCGTCTCCACGGTCCAGGGGAGCAGCGAGGAGGGGCCGCCCCCCCCCTTGCCCCCGCGGGGGGGGGCGGCCTCCAGGGTGCTGATGGCGTGGGGGGGGGCGGGCGAAGGGGACCCCCACACCAACCTGGCACCAGCACCACGCGGGGAGTCGCGCATCGCCCTGGGGGGAGGGGGGGGGGGTAGCATCATCAGCATCGTCAGCAGTGCCATCAGCATCGTCAGCAGCATCAGCATCATCATCAGCATCATCAACAGCACCATCATCACCAGCATCGTCAGCATCAGCAGCATCATCAGCACCAGAAGCATGATCGGCACCATCAGCATCAACATCATCAGCACCATCAGCATCGTTAGCATCCTCAGCAATATCAGCATCATCAGCACCATCATCATCAGCACTAACAGCATCGTCCGTACCATCAACATGAGCAGCACCATCAGCAGCATCAGTATCATAATCAGCAGTATCATCATCAGAATCATCATCATCAGCATCATGATCAGCACCAACATCATCAGCACCAACATCATCAGCACCATCAGCATCATCAGGATCATTAGCAGCATCATCAGGATCATCATCATCAGCATCATCAGCATCATCATCAGGACCATCATCAGAATCATCAGCAGCATCATCAGGATCATCATCAGCATCATCAGGATCATCATCAGCATCATCAGCAGCATCATCAGGATCATCAGAATCATCATCAGCATCAGGATCATCATCAGAATCATCAGGATCATCATCAGCACCATCAGGATCATTATCAGCTTCATCAGCAGCATCAGTATCACTATCAGCACCATCAACATCAGAATCAGCAGCAGCATCATCAGCAACAACACTGACACTATGACCATCAGAAGCACCATTCTGATCAGCACCATCATAATCATGATCACTATCATCATAATCAGCACCAACACCGACACTTCAACCATGAGCAGCACCACCATCATTATCATCAGCAGCATCATCATCAGCATCATCAGGACTATCATCAACGCTATCATAAGCATCATCAATACAATCATCAGCATCAACACTAAGATCATCACCAGCACCATCAGTGAGTGTGTATGATGTGTGTGGTGAGTGTGTATGGTGAGTGTGTGTGGTGAGTGTGTGTGGTGTGTGGTGAGTGTGTATGGTGAGTGTGTATGCTGAGTGTGTATGGTGTGTGTGGTGAGTGTGTATGCTGAGTGTGTATGGTGTGTGTGGTGAGTGTGTATGGTGTGTGTGGTTAGTGTGTATGGTGTGTATGATGTGTGTGGTGTGTATGGTGTGTATGGCGAGTGTGGTGTGTGTGGTGAGTGTGTGTGGTGAGTATGTATGGTGAGTGTGGTGAGCGTGTATGGTGAGTGTGTATGGTGAGTGTGGTGACTGTGTATGGTGTGTATGGCGAGTGTGGTGTGTGTGGTGAGTGTGTGTGGTGAGTGTGTATGGTGAGTGTATGTGGTGAGTGTGTATGGTGTGTGTGGTGAGCGTGTATAGTGTGTATGGCGTGTGGTGAGGGTGTATGGTGTGTGTGTATGGTGAGTGTGTGTGGTGAGTGTGTATGGTGAGTATGGTGTGTGTGGTGTGTATGGTGTGTGTGGTGAGTGTGTATGGTGAGTGTGTATGGTGAGTGTGTCTGGTGAGTGTGTCTGGTTAGTGTGTCTGGTGTGTCTGGTGAGTGTGTATGGTGAGTGTGTATGCTGTGTATGGTGAGTGTGTGTGGTGAGTGTGTATGCTGAGTGTGTATGGTGAGTGTGTATGGTGAGTGTGTATGGTGAGTGTGTATGGTGAGTGTGTATGGTGAGTGTGTATGGTGAGTGTGTATGGTGAGTGTGTATGGTGTGTATGGTGTGTATGGTGAGTGTGTATGGTGAGTGTGTATGGTGAGTGTGGTGAGTGTGTATGGTGAGTGTGTATGGTGAGTGTGGTGAGTGTGTATGGTGAGTGTGTAGAGTGTGTATGGTGAGTGTGTATGGTGAGTGTGTATGGTGAGTGTGGTGAGTGTGTATGGTGAGTGTGTAGAGTGTGTATGGTGAGTGTGTATGGTGAGTGTGTATGGTGAGTGTGTATGGTGAGTGTGTATGGTGAGTGTGGTGAGTGTGGTGAGTGTGTATGGTGAGTGAGTGTGGTGAGTGTGTATGGTGAGTGTGTATGGTGAGTGTGTATGGTGATTGTGTATGGTGAGTGTGTATGGTGAGTGTGTATGGTGAGTGTGTATGGTGAGTGTGTATGGTGAGTGTGTATGGTGAGAGTGTATGGTGAGTGTGTATGGCGAGTGTGTATGGTGAGTGTGTATGGTGAGTGTGTATGGTGAGTGTGTATGGTGAGTGTGTATTGTGAGTGTGTATGGTGAGTGTGTATGGTGAGTGTGTATGGTGAGTGTGTATGGTGAGTGTGTATGGTGTGTGTGTATGGTGTGTATGGTGAGTGTGTATGGTGTGTATGGTGTGTATGGTGAGTGTGTATGGTGAGTGTGTATGGTGAGTGTGTATGGTGAGTATGGTGAGTGTGTATGTTGTATGTGGTGAGTGTGTATGGTGAGTGTGTATGGTGAGTGTGTATGGTGAGTGTGTATGGTGAGTGTGTATGGTGAGTGTGTATGGTGAGTGTGTATGGTGTGTATGGTGAGTGTGTATGGTGAGTGTGTATGGTGTGTATGGTGAGTGTGTATGGTGAGTGTGTATGGTGAGTGTGTATGGTGAGGGTGTATGGTGAGTGTGTATGGTGAGTGTGGTGAGTGTGTATGGTGAGTGTGTATGGTGAGTGTGGTGAGTGTGTATGGTGAGTGTGGTGAGTGTGGTGAGTGTGTATGGTGAGTGAGTGTGGTGAGTGTGTATGGTGAGTGTGTATGGTGAGTGCGTATGGTGAGTGCGTATGGTGAGTGTGTATGGTGAGTGTGTATGGTGAGTGTGTATGGTGAGTGTGTATGGTGAGTGTGTATGGTGAGTGTGTATGGTGAGTGTGTATGGTGTGTATGGTGAGTGTGTATGGTGAGTGTGTATGGTGAGTGTGTATGGTGAGTGTGTATGGTGAGTGTGTATGGTGTGTATGGTGAGTGTGTATGGTGTGTATGGTGAGTGTGTATGGTGTGTATGGTGTGTATGGTGAGTGTGTATGGTGAGTGTGTATGGTGAGTGTGTATGGTGAGTATGGTGAGTGTGTATGTTGTATGTGGTGAGTGTGTATGGTGAGTGTGTATGGTGAGTGTGTATGGTGAGTGTGTATGGTGAGTGTGTATGGTGAGTGTGTATGGTGAGTGTGTATGGTGAGTGTGTATGGTGTGTATGGTGAGTGTGTATGGTGAGTGTGTATGGTGAGTGTGTATGGTGTGTATGGTGAGTGTGTATGGTGAGTGTGTATGGTGAGTGTGTATGGTGAGGGTGTATGGTGAGTGTGTATGGTGAGTGTGGTGAGTGTGTATGGTGAGTGAGTGTGGTGAGTGTGTATGGTGAGTGTGTATGGTGAGTGCGTATGGTGAGTGCGTATGGTGAGTGTGTATGGTGAGTGTGTATGGTGAGTGTGTATGGTGAGTGTGGTGAGTGTGTATGGTGAGTGTGTATGGTGAGTGTGTATGGTGAGTGTGTATGGTGAGTGTGTATGGTGAGTGTGGTGAGTGTGTATGGTGAGTGTGTATGGTGAGTGTGTATGGTGTGTATGGTGAGTGTGGTGAGTGTGGTGAGTGTGTATGGTGAGTGAGTGTGGTGAGTGTGTATGGTGAGTGTGTATGGTGAGTGCGTATGGTGAGTGTGTATGGTGAGTGTGTATGGTGAGTGTGTATGGTGAGTGTGTATGGTGAGTGTGGTGAGTGTGTATGGTGAGTGTGTATGGTGAGTGTGTATGGTGAGTGTGTATGGTGAGTGTGGTGAGTGTGTATGGTGAGTGTGTATGGTGAGTGTGGTGAGTGTGTATGGTGAGTGTGTATGGTGAGTGTGTATGGTGAGTGTGTATGGTGAGTGTGTATGGTGAGTGTGTATGGTGAGTGTGTATGGTGAGTGTGTGCACTCGGGATCGCATCTCCTGCCTCAGAGGGAAGGAATGTGGAGGTGCAATGCGAGGAATGCCAAGATGAAGACGATGGAGATGAACACAGACAAAGATCCCCCGTGTAGCCTGTAACAGACTGCAGAGGCAAGTGCTGTTAGTAGCGAGTAGCAGCAGCACCTGTGAAGGTAGACACAGACAAAGATCCCCCGTGTAGCCTCTAACAGACTGCAGGGGCAAGTGCTGTTAGCGGGCAGCATCTGTGAAGGCTACCGGCACTGTGGCACACGAGGGGGTGGGTGGCCAGCAACCACGCCCGGCCGCCTTTGTCTCCCCAGTGGCGATGTTTACTACACACCGCACCAGGTACTCATTTGAGGCTGAGTCGAACTAGGGGAGGCCCAGGACCGGTTCAGATAATCGTCACCGCCAGTGTTGGCCGTGAGCAGGAATTGAACTCGGGTGTCCGGGTTCGTAGCGCAGCGTAGTGCTAACCACTACACCACCGCTCCACACACAGTGTACACACACACACAGTGTACACACAGTGTACACACACCACACACAGTGTACACACACCACACACACAGTGTACACACACCACACACACAGTGTACACACACCACACACACAGTGTACACACACAGTGTACACACAAACAGTGTACACACAAACAGTGTACACACACAGTGTACACACAAACAGTGTACACACACAGTGTACACACAAACAGTGTACACACACAGTGTACACACAAACACACACACACAGTGTACACACAAACACACACACAGTGTACACACAAACACACACACAGTGTACACACACACACAGTGTACACACACAGTGTACACACACACAGTGTACACACACACACACCACACACACAGTGTACACACACCACACACACAGTGTACACACACCACACACACAGTGTACACACACCACACACAGTGTACACACACACACAGTGTACACACACACACAGTGTACACACACACAGTGTACACACACACAGTGTACACACACACACAGTGTACACACACAGTGTACACACACAGTGTACACACAAACACAGTGTGCACTACACACACACACAACACAGTGTACACGCAAACACACAGTGTACACACAAACACACAGTGTACACACAAACACAGTGTACACTACACACACAGTGTACACTACACACAGTGTACACCACACACACACAGTGTACACTACACACAGTGTACACTACACACAGTGTACACACACACACAGTGTACACTACACACAGTGTACACTACACAGTGTACACCACACACACACAGTGTACACCACACACACACAGTGTACACCACACACACAGTGTACACCACACACAGTGTACACCACACACACACAGTGTACACTACACACACAGTGTACACTACACACACAGTGTACACCACACACACACACAGTGTACACCACACACACACACAGTGTACACCACACACACACTCAGTTTACGCACTGACAGCGCAAAACCAGCGCTGTCAACTCCACATTCCGACGCCCAAGGAAAGTCCATCCACGCACGGCATGTAAACATACTAACGTATGTGTGTGTACATATATACAGCACATCTTGGTCAACTGCACAGGTACTATATACTAATGCATAGCTCTTAACCCATACAGTTCACGCCGTCTTCATGTACAGGGACATTGAGTGTTCAATAGGGGCCACAAAATTAATCAGAATAATAATAATTGTTGTTGCTGTTGTCTATCTGTTTGTGTTTCTCCCTCGTGATGAGACTTTGTAGGATGAACGTTGAGATTTATAAGGGGCACGGGGTGACCAATAACTTGTGATTTGGTCTGTAATAAGATAGGGGCACTGATATGACAGGTCTGCTAACGCCTTACACACACACAGTGTAAATACGTTGACAAGATCAATCCACTGCTAGATGAGTGGCTTTTTGCATCCCTGTCGTACGGGAGGGTTGTTTGACCATACTTCACCACGATGGTCAAAACACACACACACGTGTGTATACACAGTACACACACACGCGTGTGTGTATACACACAGTACACACACACGCGTGTATATACACACAGTACACACACACGCGTGTATATACACACAGTACACACACACGCGTGTGTGTATACACACAGTACACACACACGCGTGTGTGTATACACACAGTACACACACACGCGTGTGTATACACACAGTACACACACACGCGTGTGTATACACACAGTACACACACACGCGTGTGTATACACACAGTACACACACACGCGTGTGTATACACACAGTACACACACACACACGTGTGTATACACAGTACACACACACACGTGTGTATACACAGTACACACACACGCGTGTATACACAGTACACACACACGCGTGTGTATACACAGTACACACACACGCGTGTGTATACACAGTACACACACACGTGTGTATACACAGTACACACACACGCGTGTGTATACACAGTACACACACACGCGTGTGTATACACAGTACACACACGCGCGTGTATACACAGTACACACACACGCGTGTGTATACACAGTACACACACACACGCGTGTGTATACACAGTACACACACACACACGCGTGTATACACAGTACACACACACACGCGTGTATACACAGTACACACACACACGCGTGTATACACAGTACACACACACACGCGTGTGTATACACAGTACACACACGTGTGTATACACAGTACACACACGTGTGTATACACAGTACACACGCGTGTGTATACACAGTACACATACACGCGCGCGTGTATACACAGTACACATACACACGCGCGTGTATACACAGTACACACACACACGCGTGTGTATACACAGTACACACACACGCGTGTGTATACACAGTACACACACACACGCGTGTGTATACACACACACGCGTGTGTATACACACACACACGCGTGTGTGTACACACACACACGCGTGTGTGTATACACACACACGCGTGTGTGTATACACACACACGCGTGTGTATACACACACACGCGTGTGTATACACACACACGCGTGTGTATACACACACACGCGTGTGTATACACAGTACACACACGCGTGTGTATACACAGTACACACACTACACGTGTACACAGTACACGTGTAGTGTGTGTACACAGTACACACACGTGTAGTGTAGTACACACGTGTAGTGTAGTACACGTGTGTACACAGTACACACACTCATGCATTACACACCCGTGGAATATCGACGCACAAGACGCGCGCACAAATGCACAATAATAAACGCGCCTCCGTGCTGCCTGCGCCGACAAGTTAACTTTTAATTCATCCGTGAGTTTAAAACTTTTAAACTTTAAAAAAAAAACTTTTTATTTATTTTTATTTTTAAAATCCCTGCAACGAACAAACCTCGGGGCAGCTCGGCGTAGCGGCCAGCGCACCGCGCCGTATCCCTCCGCCGACGCGGCCGCCTCACCGCCGTCTCCGCTCAAACCTCGGCGCGCCTCGGCGTCTCCTTCCGCGCGCAAACAACAACAACATTTGCTAGTGGACGGGAAAAAAAAATAATCACTCGTCTTTAAGTCGATTTTTGTTGGATGCTCACCTCCGTTTCAAACGTCGCCGGCACCTTGCTCTGCGGCGGCGGCGTCGTCGTCGTTGTTGTAACCGGGAGATTAATTTTAAGAAAAAAAATTCTGAGGGGAAATAAAAAAAACTAAAATCGATGCCGGACTCCAAAACCGGCGCTGGCTTTCGCCTCAGCGGATTCGCGCGATTAAAACAGTGGGGGGGGGAGGGGTCAGGTGGGTGGGGGGAGGGGTCAGGTGGGTGGGGGGAGGGGTGGGGGGAGGGGTCGGGGGAGGGGTCAGGTGGGTGGGGGGAGGGGTCGGGGGGGGGAGAAGCGGGGGGAGGGGTCAGGTGGGTGGGGGGAGGGGTCGGGGTCAGGTGGGTGGGGGAAGGGGTCAGGTGGGTGGGGGGAGGGGTCGGGGGGGGGAGAAGCGGGGGGAGGGGTCAGGTGGGTGGGGGGGATGGGGGGGGGAGAAGCGGGGGGAGGGGTCAGGTGGGTGGGGGGAGGGGTCAGGCAATCAACAACACAACAACAACAACAACCGCCATTCGCCACTAAGTGGCGGTGACGTCACCACGACGCTTGTGCCAGGCTATGTGCACCCTGAGGCCACGTGAAGTGTCGAACGCCCGCTGGCAGGAGGTCACGGGGCAGACCCAGGTGCCACGGGTCGACTGACTGAGATGACTGGCTGATGCCCCACCTGTGCCCCCTACTGTGCCACACAATCACACACACAATCACACACACACTCACAATCACACACACACACTCACAATCACACACACTCACAATCACACACACTCACAATCACACAATCACACACACTCACAATCACACACACAATCACACACTCACAATCACACACACACACTCACAATCACACGCACAATCACACACTCACAATCACACACACACTCACAATAACACACACACACACTCACAATCACACACACAATGATTGTGTGCGATTGTGGACGGGCCCCGCTGTTTAATAATAATTAAAATGTCTCATGCTCATTCCATTATAGCAACACAAACAGCGACCCAGGGGAACACCCCTAGACGCCACGGGATCGACTCCTGGCCCAGGGTGTGTCTCAAGGCCGTAATTATAAAATATTTTGGAGGGAACACCACCCCACCAACAATCAAATATGATCAAAATGTCCCCCCCTCCCCCAATATGTGGAACACGACATTCCCATAGGGTTACACTGCGAACACGACATTCCCATAGCGTTAGGCTGGGAACACGACATTCCCATAGGGTTACACGGGGAACACGATATTCCCATAGGGTTAGGCTGGGAACACGACATTCCCATAGGGTTACACTGCGAACACGACATTCCCATAGGGTTACACTGGGAACGCGACATTCCCATAGGGTTACACTGGGAACACGACATTCCCATAGGGTTACACTGGGAACGCGACATTCCCATAGGGTTAGGCTGGGAACACGACATTCCCATAGGGTTACATGGGGAACACGACATTCCCATAGGGTTACACTGGGAACGCGACATTCCCATAGGGTTACACTGCGAACACGACATTCCCATAGGGTTAGGCTGGGAACGCGACATTCCCATAGGGTTACACGGGGGAACGCGACATTCCCATAGGGTTACGCTGGGAACACGACATTCCCATAGGGTTACACTGCGAACACGACATTCCCATAGGGTTAGGCTGGGAACGCGACATTCCCATAGGGTTACACGGGGAACACGACATTCTCATAGGGTTACACTGGGAACGCGACATTCCCATAGGGTTACGCTGGGAACACGACATTCCCATAGGGTTACACTGCGAACACGACATTCCCATAGGGTTAGGCTGGGAACGCGACATTCCCATAGGGTTACACGGGGAACACGACATTCCCATAGGGTTACACTGGGAACGCGACATTCCCATAGGGTTACACTGGGAACACGACATTCCCATAGGGTTACACTGCGAACACGACATTCCCATAGGGTTACACGGGGGAACACGACATTCCCATAAGGTTAGGCTGGGAACACGACATTCCCATAGGGTTACACTGCGAACACGACATTCCCATAGGGTTAGGCTGGGAACACGACATTCCCATAGGGTTACACGGGGAACACGACATTCCCATAGGGTTACGCTGGAAACACGACATTCCCATAGGGTTACACGGGGAACACGACATTCCCATAGGGTTACGCTGGGAACACGACATTCCCATAGGGTTACACTGGGAACGCGACATTCCCATAGGGTTACACTGGGAACACGACATTCCCATAGGGTTACACGGGGGAACGCGACATTCCCATAGGGTTACACTGGGAACACGACATTCCCATAGGGTTAGGCTGGGAACGCGACATTCCCATAGGGTTACACGGGGAACACGACATTCCCATAAGGTTAGGCTGGGAACACGACATTCCCATAGGGTTAGGCTGGGAACGCGACATTCCCATAGGGTTACACGGGGAACACGACATTCCCATAGGGTTAGGCTGGGAACACGACATTCCCATAGGGTTACATGGGGAACACGACATTCCCATAGGGTTACACGGGGAACACGAAATTCCCATAGGGTTACACTGGGAACACGACATTCCCATAGGGTTAGGCTGGGAACGCGACATTCCCATAGGGTTACACGGGGAACACGACATTCCCATAGGGTTACACTGGGAACACGACATTCCCATAGGGTTACACTGGGAACACGACATTCCCATAGGGTTACACGGGGAACACGACATTCCCATAGGGTTACACGGGGAACGCGACATTCCCATAGGGTTAGGCTGGGAACGCGACATTCCCATAGGGTTACACGGGGAACACGACATTCCCATAGGGTTACACGGGGAACGCGACATTCCCATAGGGTTACACTGGGAACACGACATTCCCATAGGGTTAGGCTGGGAACACGACATTCCCATAGGGTTACACGGGGAACACGACATTCCCATAAGGTTAGGCTGGGAACACGACATTCCCATAGGGTTAGGCTGGGAACACGACATTCCCATAGGGTTACATGGGGAACACGACATTCCCATAGGGTTACACTGGGAACGCGACATTCCCATAGGGTTACACTGCGAACACGACATTCCCATAGGGTTAGGCTGGGAACACGACATTCCCATAGGGTTACACGGGGAACACGACATTCCCATAGGGTTACGCTGGGAACACGACATTCCCATAGGGTTACACGGGGAACACGACATTCCCATAGGGTTACACGGGGAACACGACATTCCCATAGGGTTAGGCTGGGAACACGACATTCCCATAGGGTTACGCTGGGAACACGACATTCCCATAGAGTACGCTGGGAACGCGACATTCCCATAGGGTTAGGCTGGGAACGCGACATTCCCATAGGGTTACGCTGGGAACACGACATTCCCATAGGGTTACACGGGGAACACGACATTCCCATAGGGTTACACGGGGGAACGCGACATTCCCATAGGGTTACACTGGGAACACGACATTCCCATAGGGTTAGGCTGGGAACGCGACATTCCCATAGGGTTACACGGGGAACACGACATTCCCATAGGGTTACACTGGGAACACGACATTCCCATAGGGTTACACTGGGAACACGACATTCCCATAGGGTTACACGGGGAACACGACATTCCCATAGGGTTACACTGGGAACACGACATTCCCATAGGGTTACACGGGGAACGCGACATTCCCATAGGGTTACACGGGGAACGCGACATTCCCATAGGGTTAGGCTGGGAACGCGACATTCCCATAGGGTTACACGGGGAACACGACATTCCCATAAGGTTAGGCTGGGAACACGACATTCCCATAGGGTTAGGCTGGGAACACGACATTCCCATAGGGTTACATGGGGAACACGACATTCCCATAGGGTTACACGGGGAACGCGACATTCCCATAGGGTTAGGCTGGGAACGCGACATTCCCATAGGGTTACACGGGGAACACGACATTCCCATAAGGTTAGGCTGGGAACACGACATTCCCATAGGGTTAGGCTGGGAACACGACATTCCCATAGGGTTACACGGGGAACACGACATTCCCATAGCGTTAGGCTGGGAACACGACATTCCCATAGGGTTACACGGGGAACACGACATTCCCATAGGGTTAGGCTGGGAACACGACATTCCCATAGGGTTACGCTGGGAACACGACATTCCCATAGAGTACGCTGGGAACGCGACATTCCCATAGGGTTAGGCTGGGAACGCGACATTCCCATAGGGTTACACGGGGAACGCGACATTCCCATAGGGTTACGCTGGGAACACGACATTCCCATAGGGTTACACGGGGAACACGACATTCCCATAGGGTTACGCTGGGAACACGACATTCCCATAGAGTACGCTGGGAACGCGACATTCCCAAAGGGTTAGGCTGGGAACGCGACATTCCCACAGACCGAGACACGGGGGGAAACACGCGGAGATTTGTAGTAAACTAAACTGTTGTTTTATTTCATCATCAGCAGCATCAGCAGCAGCATCGCCAAACGCGACTGCGAGAGCCGTCGATTCTGCACGCGGAGGGGATGACACCGACAGAGGCGGGACACAAAATCCACACGGCCACCACGCGGAGAGAGAGACTCACAGACTCCGCACAGACAGCAGGGGGTCGGCGTGGAGCCCACGACCTCCTGTGTACCAGGCGAGGTAGTCAACATCTCATAGCCACCGT